AAGCTCTGTAAAACTTAACTCATCCTAAAATTATACGCTGTCTTCTCTTTTGCTAGAAGGAGCACTGTTGCATTCCAGCTGCCATCCCATCTAGCAGCCACCATACTGCTTTAGGTCCTACTTTTATGCTGTCTTGATCCAGCTGTTACTGGACTCCGCCTATCACAAGTATCTCATCACTTTTCTCATCATAATGCCTATGTCCTTCTTCCTCCAGAGACCCTTGAGGATATCTAGTCCTTCTCAGGATTTACTTTAGCTGACTTGGAAGCATAGGCCCTCTTTCCCCAGCTAATGATTTTTTCTTCATTGTGCTATAATTATAATACACTAATGAATACACACGTGTGTGTTTTAAAGGAATCCATATCGTGTGTCTTTAACAGAGATCAGATGTTAATTTGTAATTTTTGACATGTTCTCCCATCGTTGCTTGTTGTATTTCTGATCTGGTAAACAGCAGAGGGGAAGGGCTTGTCTGTCATAGTCACTGGCTACCACAACCCTCCATGAGGCCACAGTATTAATCCACTGAGTGATCCATGCTGCATGCAGTTGTTCATTACATCAACTCATGAGGGATTAAGTGAATAGTAGGGAGTGCTGCTTCTCCTCTGTATTTCGCTATACAGCCCTGACTTTGCCATGCCTGGCAAGGCTGGCATGCAAGCAGTGCTGATCTTCAGCTCAGATTTTCAGTAAGATAGTTCCATAAACACAATGACATCGTGTCATGACATCATTACTTTCCTGTAGGTTTGAATCAGCTTGCTTGCTTTTACAGGAAGTTATATATATTCACTGCTCCTCCAACTTGACATCAGGGAAGTGCCACACACAATTGCTTTCAACATTTAGCTCTCAAGTGCATGAACAACATTCCCATAATCCATTAAGTACCCACCCAGAACAGACTTTGTCATCATAAAACTAAAGGCACCTAAATAAACAGAAAGGTCAGTTTACACTATAAAAGCTTGAAAAAATCACAGTATTACTTCTGGGGAAAGGGTGAAGCAAAAATGACAGTACATTGTGCTATGGGGGCTTCTGGCCTAATTGAAAACACTAGGTAATACAATACTGGCGCCAAGAGACCAAAGGTTTAATGTCTCCATCTCCCCAGGTTCTTCCTAATATTATCCATGATGTCATTGCACCCTGGACTGTTCATTTAAGTATTGATTGGAAAGGCTTTGCAGAAAAAAGAATTATACTGGAAATTGGAAGTACACTGTATGAGATGAGATAGATAATGTGAACAAATGCACAAAACTAAACACATCAGAAGGAAATCAAGAGACATTCTGCATTGTTTATGGACTACAGGACAGTACAAAAAATCAGAGACCTTAGATCTTGAGGGCCTCAGTGAAACAAAAGAGTGGAAAGCATTGTATTTATGGGACAAATCGGGTTTCATCCAAGATTCCTCATTTCATATCAGTTTAAAGCCAACACTGTTCTACTGCTCCACCAGCAATAAATACAGAAAATATTCATGTATTTACAAGAAGTATTGAAAACCTCATTATTTGTGGGAAAGGAGGGGCAGAGGGTAAAGGGGAAAGTGTCATAGTTTACAGCCATGTGTTTTCAAATAGAGGCTAATGCATGCATACCAGCACTCACTTTTACACACCAGTGCCAAAATGCTGATGAACTGCAAAGTGATCTTTGCAGTGACATTGCACACAGAGCAGAGCCCTTAAAAACAGGGGCTAAAATGATATACTTTGGGCCACCAGTGTTGTAAGTTGGAAATAACTTCATGACTCTCCCTTCACTCCTACCAAAGATGGCTTTGCTGAGTTCCAAGTTCAGGGTTTAAACTCCTACTTGACTCTAAACAGGCATCTTCATACAGCAAGTTCTAGACACATATGTAAACTCTGCTGTCTGAAGGCTTTTCTGTGACAACATCTGGGAATACATTTATGAGATGTTAATTCAAAGGGTTGAATTATGCATATGAACTAACACCCTCATGTGATCACTGAGCTAGCTGCAGTGCTACAGTCCCATCCCAAAACCTGCAGACATCATCTATAGCAGCCTGTCAACAGCTCATGCACACTTTAAAAGCATCAAAGTGTTTTTCCCCATTTTTCCAAGAAAAAAAAAAGCCCTTACAACACATAAACAAACACATAGAAAGACACCAACGTATTTCTTTGCATAATTTCAGCAAAAACATGCTTTTCTTGTTAAACTCTGGTGCTATCCTTTGATTATAAGCATCTTCTTTTCCAGGAAATCTATGACTAAGTATGTGCAAACACTCATCCCAGGGGTCTACCCCTGTGGTGGCTGCGGCCACCCCCAGAACTTCTCACCACTTATCTGTGCGATTTGCCTCACAGTCGCACGTATAATACATTCTCCCTTCTTTCAGCTCCCCTTTCCATCTGGGTGCTTGCCAAGTATGCTGGCTGGCTATCTACTAGCAACAGAAATGGGACCTGAGTCCCAACAAGACCCTGGTGGAAGCTGGAGGTATCCCCACTGACTGCAATGGAGTTGTGCTGGCTTTCACCACTTCAGCAAGGGTTTCCTAGATCCATTATTAGGCTGCTGTGGACTGTGGTTGCTTTAGTCCTGCAGACTGTTGGGAGCTTTTGATTCCACTTCAGCACAGACTAGGGTCATTCCCCTGTCACTAGATAAACCCATTATAAAATGCAGCTAAGGGTATGTGCTGCTGTCTGGCACCAGCTGGTCATCACTACATGGGACAAGACCAAGCCTTACAAGAAAGCTGAGTTCACATTTCCAAGCAAAGAGAAAGGGAGAGGTTTGAACAGAGAGTTGTCACTGCCAGTGGTTTATTCAAGGCTAGCAGTAAACTCGGGTTGTTTATTGAATCCCAGCTTTTCTTGCATGTACACAGGAAAACAGATGCTTCCCACTCCAAGGCCCCATGCTCAAGCCATGCTCCCTCAGCAAAGCCTGCAGGTAGGGTACACAAATGGGGCGGCAGAGATGTCGCTTCCTGCCTCTGGCTGCTCTGAGCTGGTGATATGACATTATCTATCCCACACACTTCTTTGGCCTCCCCAGTAGGGTATCAGGCCAGCTCACTGCATGCACTTTGCTTTTCCTGTGCAGTAAGAACAGTTGCTGCCTCTGCTCACAAACAGGGAGCAGAGGCCAAGGCTTGCAAGTGTTTTGGCTCTAACAGTGCACATGAGGCATGGATGGCAGTGCTGGGAAGCAAGCCAGGTCTCCCAGAGCCTGGGCAGCTGGGTGCCCTAACTGCTAGGTTACCTTTCATCTTCCAGCATGGTCCATCCATAGCCCTCTCTTCAGTGAGCCTCAGGTGCAGTCCTCCACTCGTTCATTTATACCAGCTGCAAATTAAGTTTCAGGCTCTTACACTGAATTAGAGAGGCAAAGGGGAAATAGAGCAAAAACTCACGTGCCTGGACATACGCTTAATCATGGGGCCTCAGGATGGGCACGTATCACAGTCACTTACCTCATCTGAAACAGTGGGTTCTGGTCCCTAACTGTGCCAGGACTGTGATTTATTGCAGCTGTGTGTCCTTCTGTGGTCTGAAGAGGATCCTCCAGCTTTCTGCTTGAAGAAAGCCCTCTCAAGTGACATAAGCTGTTGGAGAGCACGATGCACTCACTGCTCTGCTCTCCTGTGACATTCATTTACATAAGCAGCTGAATAGCAAAACATATCAGTATTCATTGCTAATTTTGTTATTTATAGTGAGCCACAGATGGAGACTGCAGCACCATTCTATCTTTAGGGCACAGCGCCTGCCTGTCCATACAGACAATTGGCAATTAGCACAAGAACAATTTGTTTATCTATTCTTAAACTTAAATAAATAGGAAAGCCATTTATCTGTCAAAATTTAACTCCCTCCCATTGCCAGATCTCCACGTTAACTGCTTAATGAATAGAGCTCATTGCTTCAGGCATTTAGGTAAAGAGAAAAGTATCTTCTAAAAGAATTCCCATTAAAGAAAATGAAATATGCAATAAAAAATAACAGGTTACGTAGTGTATTTAGATCACAAGAATCAGGAGTGCAGGACAAGGAAAAGATCACAGCAATGTCAAGCAGAGGCATAGAAATGGACCAACCTGTATGCAGGGGACGTGTGCTATATATATTATCGCGGTTACTCCTGTCTAGTTTCTTCCAGTCCAGCCACCCAGCTCTCTGAGTGCCAAGCGAATCCTTGTGGGAGCATGAAACTGGGGAGTAGAAGACAGAGAGGATACTTGCAGTTCTCAAAGTAAAATCCCACATGTGCACTAGGATGCAGTTGCATGGCTTGGATGGCAGGACCCTGCCCAATGTAAACACCACACAAGCCAGGGAGAAGACATAACATATATTTTTCTATTTTTATTGCTGATTCCAACCCTTCTTTATTTTCTTTTATTGCCTATACCAACCCCTGAATTTAGAGAAGAGGCTTTATGAATTGATGGACTTTGTGAGTTGCACCCAAGGGTTGGCCCCTGTTCCTTCTCTCCTTGCTCCCACCAGTGGGAGGGAAATGGGAGCTGCTGGAGGACTGCTCATGCTCACATTAAAGGCCAAAGTAGTCTGTGTGGAAAAACAGAAACGACTAACCCTTGTCTTTCCCACAATTCAAATATTCTCAGCATCTGAAAATGTTCACTGACTCAAGCTCGCAGGTGCAGCTTCTTTTACATGCATATGGGTGTACACACATCCATACGCACAGGGTGGGAAAAGCACTGGTTAAAAATAAGGTTTTAGAAGTTACTGCTATCAGGCAGCAAAGGTGGGTGAGATCTGAGAAATTCTGCCTGGCTTCCATTTGCAATCATATTGGTCCAGCAAAGAGCTATTTACTTATTGTGCTACCTGGACAATCTTTATTTGACCGTTTTATTCTCCTGTCAGCATACAGGAATGGGGTGAAAGCTACTAAATACAAGTAAATTATTTCAAATGCAGTGGCTGGAATGAAATAACTAATGAGAAGCTCCTTCTTTTGTCTTTCAGGTCACAACACCAAACTTCCCTGTAGTGGTCAAGCTGGGACATGCTCATGCTGGAATGGGAAAGGTAAGTAAAAGAAAAAGCACTTATAGCTCAGGAAATAGATATATATGTGGCACAGCATTCCTGTGATTGTACATGGCGTGTGGACAGCCAGAGAAGGGGTTAAACCTCCCCGCAGCCTATCTGGGTTGCACTGGCTGTTCCTGTGGGAGAAAAGGCCTTTTTCCGCTGTCACGCACTCGGAGACAGGCAGTGGTATTGGGTTAGAGGCTGTCTGGGATGAGGGAAGGGGGGCTGTGAAGAGTGGGGGAAAAGCTGGCTGGGCTGAAGTCATTAGGCTCGTCTTTTATATATTCTCTCCTCTCCTGAAAGTGGTAATGTTGTTTATTCAAGCACCTGTAATGTGCAGCTACACCCCACAGCTCTCACAATGAGGAGCAGTGGCACTGGTCTTTTTGAGCGCATTATGATGACCTGATTCAATAAAATGGGAGCCCTTCAGTTATTTTTTTCCTCCTTGCAAGGAAGAACAAGACCTTACAAAGCAGAATGGCTGGTTGCCTGCCAAGGAATCCTGAAAAACATTTCACTCCTCAGAAGGACCTGTTTGTTTTTCCCAGGCTCTCTGGGATCTTTATTCCCCCAGTGAATTAGCAACCACTGTTTCTTGGGGTGACTGGGTTCCCCTTTCAGTGAGGCATCACCAGCACATTCCTGCGGCACTTTAGCCTCCTCTTTCTTGTGTATATCTTTTTAAAAAGCATCCCCTATCTGCCTAAAACTTGATTTGTTCACAAGTAGGAAATTGTGACACATCATCTCTGAATCCAAATGGGTGGTACATGAACTTTGTACCACTGTCACAGTGCTTCCCTAGAGCAGACAGACTTCCTCCAGCCTCACACTTCACCTGAAAATTATATATAGCATGCCAGACTTAAACGTGGTACAGCTTGTTTGCTTGTGCTCTGGAAACAGGAGCTCCTTCTGGCTTCCTGGATTGCACGTGGAAGCTCTCATAATCTTTCTTGTTTTGGTTGCAGTGATCCCCTGTCTGGATGGTAGTTGCTGGAGAGGAAGTGGGCTCATATCCCTGGGCCAGTGGTGAAGTTGTCTTTCAGCATCAAAGAACAAACATTTAAATAAGCAGGAAATGTTTGTTAAAATATGGTACTGTGTGTGTTAAACAGGCAGAGATGTCATTGAATTTGAGTACATGCAGACAGCCTAGAGCTGCTTGTAAAGTGAGACACTGAACATGTCCCTAGGAAGGATTTCATTAACAAAATCCTACCAGGACACCAGGAGGAAAAAACCTTTCCCTGAGGAAAGGTTTCAAGTTCCTTGATATCCTGCAATCCTGGGTCTCTCTGCTCTGCAATTTGACCTATAATGTGGGGAGGGCTTCATGTGTCTCTCTTGTGCATAAAGGGCTCTCAGTGACTACAGAAATAAGTGCAGAATCAGAGAAAAGTACCCCAATCTTAACAGTATTTCCGGACAAAACTCTCAGCAGAATATTTAGCTATTGTCTTCTGCACCAGACACCAGATCTTCTTCCACCTCTCACTTTCCCTCTTACTTCATTCTTTAATGATGTTGATTTTTGCTGTCACAAGTTATAGAAGAAAAGCATTTCTACTCAAACTCCAGGCATAGTTGTATGCAGAGGTACAAGGCGGGTACATAAGAAATTGTTCCAGATGAAGATAGGCTGACATCCAGCATCTTAGAAGAAGAATTGGCCTGAGGCCAAGTTTACTTTCAGTCCGTTATGAAATTAAGAACTACAAGCAAAGTCTGATATGGATTTGGGCACAGAGTTTCAACACTGCTCTGTTCGATGGATGAGGAAGGAATGGGAAGGAAGGGCTGTTGACCTTATGGTTTTAGTTTGGGCCCTTCTCCAGCCACAAGCAGCCTGAAGGAAAGTTGAGACTGATTAAATTAGTCTTATTGAAGTCTCACTGTATTTCCTTGCAGAGAGCAAAAAGAGAAGAGAGAAAGTGAAAATAAAATCAAGAAAAAGTTTCTTGGTTTGTAAGACAAGTTACAGGAATTTGTTTCGTGTTGTTTTTAAGACAATAAGGTTCAAGCCCAAGAGGAACTGATGGAAAGAGACTGATAGAAAATGTTAGGAGGAATACAGATAAGCAGAACTATGGGTATACTAGAAAAGTAACATTTCTAAGTAAGCAAAATCAAACCTCCAATTAAGTAATTCAGAAGAGGAAAGTTTCCAGGAGACAATGTGGTTGTTTTAACTGTCATAATGTAAAAGCAATAACCAATGATGATAAGGAGACTACAGAGAGATAAAGGATTTCTTAGCTTTGGTCTTCAGAAGTAGAAATGATAGCAGGAAATAGCGGGTCTTTATCTGTAAAATATAAGTAATATGAAAGGAGAGAGATTTGCTTTTGGTTTAGATGAGCATAAGAAAGTAAATGTTAATAAAGCACCTACATCGGGTCATGTTTTCTATAAAAGCAGTGACTGAATAAACAAAGGATAAAATAACCAACCTGTTAGCCAAAGTCCACATGTGAATATAAAAATAGTACTTACTGCAATAAACAATGCCAAGATACCTGTAATGGGTGCTTCAAGGGATGTGAGCATTCAGATTACAGCCTCATTACCAGCAGAAATTGTCAAGGAAGTACTTACATTTTTCTTGTTATTAATGATAAAATCACACGTAATGGGAGGTACCAAAACTTAGAAGAATGAGCAAACATGAGAAGTCCACTGTTATTCTTTGTTTGCACTGAGGCAGTGGCCAGGAGCCAGAAAAACTCTGGACACAGGAAAGGCCTCTTCCCCAAAAAGATCCACCATTGACTTGCAGGGAGATTTGTATCGTTTCACAGTTCTTCTCCAGTTTCTCTCTGCTACAGAGCAGAGGGATTACAATGATTACCTTATTCTTATTGCTAATTCATGTTCCTAAGGCTGTTGGCACTATAAGAAGTGCCAAGTGTTCATTATTTTGCAATAATAGCTAGAAAGACTATAATTATAATGTCCAGACTCTCATTTTCACATATCATTTGTTTTCACATTTACACAGAATTCACTCACCACATTTTTTTATCAGATGGTTGAAGATAAAATCCTCAAAGCTGAAATAACCATGTTAGGACTTGTAACAAACACTCTCTACTGTCTTTAGTTTGGAAAAGGAACAGTTAGTATTCAAGCTCAGAACCAAAAGGGGCAGCAGGATACCATTAACGATAGAAATGCTCTTGCCAAGTGCATGTAAAGCGGAGGTGAAGATTAATAAAGCAAATTTGCAATAAAAGGCATCTTTTGAAATTTCCATTGAGAAATCCAGAAACAACAGTCTCTCTACTGACTTGAACAGCGACACCAGGAATAGCCTTCACCCAGAGACGAAGGGGCCCCATATAGTCTCATCTCAAGTAGGACACATGGCCCTCAGCCTCAACCATAACCATCATTGTATCTCTTTTAAAATTTGGAGCTACTTCGTATTTTGATGGCACTGGAAAATCATAATAAATGTTCTCTGTACTGTTCGTCCAGGACAGTATCAGTACAAATAAACTATCTGTAGAAATACTGCTTAAACAATGGTTTACAATGGAGTCAGCAGAGAAGACCTTTCTCATGTTGTATTTAACATGAGGCCAGGCTCATGAGGTCAATAACACTCAAGGACTTTTCCAGGGAAACTGTGGGTGGATGCTAAGAGAAGATGTCGTTCTCTGTGCAGAACTTTTGTTCACCCAGCAGCTCCTAAGAGGTCAAGACACTTTTAAGCATTGTGCATTTTGAGCCTATCTACCCCAGAAGTGACTGAGCATCTCTGCTGAATAGGGTGAGCACTACAGTGAGAAAAGAATAACACTTCATCCTGACTCCGGATCTCATAATGCCAGAGCCCATGGAAAAGAATAAAGCTCTGAGTGTTTTTATATCTACCATTTATGTGCTAACATGACCCTAAAGTGCCCTAGGAACAGAGCCCAGTACTGCCAATTCACTCAAAGAACCTCTTCACCTCTTCCTGATCAGATCATGAGAAGGAAACAACTGCCAGATCTGCAAGAGGAAAACCAGTATCTGTTCATGTGGCTTTATGTCTATTTATATTAATTAAATAAATACACATATTGCTTATCTTTATTTTTAGACCTCTCTAATTAGGCAAATTTAAGTCACCTCCTGTCCCCTCCTGCCCCATAATTATGAAAACACCTCCCCAGTACAAATCCTGGCCCAGATGAATTTATTATGTTGTAGAAGAAAAACTTATTGTTCATAATAATGTGGTCAGAGTTATTTTCTCTCTTACTGGATGGGAAAGACTTCTCTACTTTCTTCTTTTTTTTTTTCCCCTGGTAAAAATATACCACAAACTAAACAGAGCCACTCTGTACTGTAAAAGTACTGCAAGCTTTTTATCAGGAAGGACAGCTCGTCACCTTGTCTCTCTTGGGCCTGGAAATAGAATGTTCCAAAAGTGAGAGCTTTAAAAATCCAGTGTGCTAAAGAGGAAAGGAAGGGGAAAGGGCTACCTCGGTTTGTCAAGGAACAAATATTTTCTTTTACAGGGGGCAAATAATGACTTGACATATAACATTCACAACACAGCAGCCCAAACACTGCGTTCCCACTGACTCATGAGCAAGGAGGTACCACCCATCTTGAAAATAGCATCCCCATTTCTTGCACCTTAGTCTGGAAGCTTTTACTGGGGACAGAAAACGGTGGCTGATCCAGGGCACCAAGGATCAAAGCTGCCTGGATCTGGGGCTGAGAAGTTCTTCATTAGGAAGTTAGTAGGGATTATAAGGTTTAAGGCATTAAAGATAGTGTAACACATGGAGAACTTCAGCATAAGGATCATAAGGAAATGCAGAATCTGTTGTGCCTTCATTATTTTGCAGTGGGTCAAAGTCAGTCCTAAACTGTGTGTGTGTTGGTTGGATCAGGTGTTTTCTGAGAAGGGGAGTGTAATATGGAGTAGAGTAAAGGAGAGACTCAGGAACCCCTCTGTGCAGAGCCATGCCTGAAGACCCGTTGTCCCAAAATGGTAAAGTAACTACAGAAAAGTTAAGTGCAGGTCAAAATGGACCAAAAAGCACAAATTTTACCTGGCCATGCCAGTTACTCTGGAGGAAAATAGACTGCACCTTTTCACAAGCCTACCAAGACTCAGTCAAACATCACGTTGCCAAGCCCGGCCTTGGCTCAGCCTTGGACACTTACCTTCCAGCTGAACCTGAGTCTAACCCCAGTTTGGACACAGAAACTGCTTCTGCAAGCCATCTCCAAAGTGGTGTGGGTTTAACCTGAAAGGCAAACTTACCTCTGGATGACACTCAGAGAGGCAAGGCTAGGGCAGCCCTAGCAGTCTACTGTAATTATGCCCCTTTGGCTGACTGACTGTTCTTTCATGTGGTCAGGTAATTAATGAAAGCAAAAGGGGACTGTGAGGCAATACAGTGCTTAGGCTAAAGATGAGAGAGGAGTGCCCCAGCCCCGGCACTCTGGTGTCCAGGAATATCTGGGATATACTAGAGACAGTAGATTCAGGAACTACAAGTCAGATTTCTACCCAGGAACCTGCACTCACACAGATCTCAGGAATGGCTCAGGCTACCCAGAAAGTATCCACGGTGGGTTTTTAACAGTGCCAGGACCCACTCTGCAAAATCCTGTCTTGTAGGAAGGCCTCAAACGAAGGTCCATAGGAGAGATGGAGCAGAAGTGTTTCTTTCTGGACTGTCCCTCACACCCTCACTTTCCAGCCAGGGCCAAGATCAGTGCTTCTTGGTCATGAGGATGGAAATGGGCACCAGCTCCAGACCACATAGCAGACCACTTATCATCAGCCTCTGGGATGCCACCACAGGGCAAAGCAGCAGTCACATCTGCATGTGCATGCCTCCGGGGATCCAGCAAGACTTCCCTCTCTAACGCAGCAATGGGGAGCATGCTAGGGCACAGCCAATGCCTGGGTTAGAGAAGAGAGCCAGAAGGGAAGGAGGGACTATCCCAGGGAGCTTTCTTACTCAGAAAAGGCATTTGTCAACACACTGGCCCAAACTCTTCACAACAGGTCACTAAAAAGCTACAGCAAACAGCAGCTGATGGCTCCAAAATGAGTCTATTGCTGCTCAAACAGCCAGCACAGCTAAGCAAATAGGCCACCAGGGCAGGGGCTGTGTTTGCACTTGCTGTTTGCACTCCTCTATGCAGCTAATGGGATATTGCATTTATCCTAAGAAGGTTACAAAAAAGAGAGGAAAAAAATGGCTTCCTGTTGATCTCTTTCCAACTTCTTTTCTCAGTTTCATGCATCGACCAACCTGCCATCTTAGAAGACAGATTTACCCCTTATTAGGCAAATTGCTAACTGTTTGCTTTAAAATTATTTTTAGTAGTTCATTCTTAAACAATGCCCTCTGGTGTCACACTACATCCACCCTGGCTTTGGTTATCTCTGAGTTTTTTCTCCTGTTAGGAGAATGGATATTTTATTGATATGTAAAAGGGCTACGAAACAGGAGGAAATTAATTATACAGAATTTAAAAGCAGAAAGCTAATAAAATGGTGGACTTAATAGATAAGGCAGGAAGATAAATCTAATCTGACTGTAACTCAAGTGCTTCCTGATCATGAATAACTGTACCCTGGACTAAACCAGTATTAACCCAGGGCACAGCTGTTATTTTGTCGAATTTGGCCAACTCTTAACAATTAACAAACAGTGGATCAGATTTCAGCTTTGGTGGGGTGATTATTTTGATGCCTGGTGGGAAATAAGTCATGATCTCCTTAAAGGGGACCTCTCTGAGGTGCTTTCTCTGAAAAGTCCATGGGAAGAGCTCTGGTACAGGCCAGAGATAGATGTCAGAGGTGTTCCCTGAGGACTGTGCAGTGGTGTGGCACTGTGGGAGTCATCTTCTTTGTTTTCATTTCTTACTTTGTGTCCTTGGTGAGTACTCCTCCTCTTTATTTACCCGGCCAAAAATCCTCAGGGCCATTGGAGAAAGCACATTCAAATGCTTTCCCTCTCTCCCCATAGGGAGAGGGTGATGGAGAGGAGGAAGAAATGGACTGTTCCTTCCCATAGCATGCCATACTTTTTTTGGGAGGGGATGAGGGTGGGAGGGAATTATTACAGTGAGCATACAGCTAGCAATAACAATAAGGTCTAATTCCAGTCTGGAGGGGGAAGCAGCATCCCTTCCTCTGCCTCTGGTACAAATGTTCCTGGGCTGCAGACTGAGGATGCAAATGGTTCTGCTGGGCCCCAAAGACATCTGCTGCACAAGCATAGCACTTTGTTTCAGATCCCACAAATGTCCTTATTCCAAGTAGGCCATTGTATAATGGCTATTGTCTTTCCCATTGCCAAAAGGGTCTGGGAGAATATGCTGTAACACCGTGCATTGCCTGCCCATACAGTCCCTCCTGTGATCATCCCGTCAGGGTGGGTCTCTTTCACTTGATGTTATTCAGCCCAGCCCAGCTCTTACCTGTACAACGAGAACACCCAAAATACCCCCAACACAGCCTGCATTGTTCCCCCTGGGATTTTACAAGCTGTGCCCAGGCTGGGGGCTCCCCTCATGTGAGGTGCTCCCCTCTCCTGCTCCTCCTGCTGCCTCCAGGGCATTCCTACCACCTTGCCCTGCCACACCCGCACTGCACACAGTCCCACACGCACACAGAGGGGGACAACACAGCCCAGAGCAAGGCTGCTCCTCCTGGATGACGTGCAATGGTTGCCTTTACATTTCCCCTTTGTGTTTGCTATTTCCTTTTTCTTTTCCTACCCTCCCACCCCACAGACGACTGTCTTCTTCCTCTGCTGCTTTTCTCAGTGGTCCCTGAATAATGAAAGCACAGTTCTCACCACAGCAAAAGGGAGGAGGACTAGTGGCATTTGGCATTCAACAAAAGGAGAAGTAAAGACAAGGTCTTTTTTTCTTCTTAGTCAGGCATCTAGAAATGGTCACAGGTCAAACTAGTTGCACTTTTCACCTTCCCCACAACCTGTCCGGTTCTCAAGAGCTTTTCTGAGCCAGGATGTGGCTGCATCTTTGGCTTATGTTACAGCTGGCGCTTACACAAAACCATCTAAACAGAATAAAACAGGTTCGCAACAAGCTTGTCCTCTGTTCTCTAGTGAAGATGGCTCCTGCCCTCTCATGGTTGAAGGCAGATATGTAAAACCACTTTGTTTGTTCTTTGCAAAGAAACACCAAATATCACTGCATGCGTTTCCTTAAGCTGGCTCCACATAGTCTGGCACCACCCTCCTTTAACACACACTCACACAACTGGAAAACTCTTCCGCGGCAGAGACCGACAGGTTGTCACGAGCAAGTAGACACTTTGCAATCCCCATCTGCGGCCTCAGAGTGTTACTAAAGTACAAAGTGTAGGTAATACGTAAATGAAAGCCACTCACTTGCTCATCCTTTTCACACAGTGTTGGTCTATTTTCCACCAATTAACCCACCCTTCCTGCATCCGTCTGGCTCTGAGGAGCAAGACTCACATGGGCTTCTCTGATGCACCAAACATGTTTTTGCCAATAGACTAAAGGACAGGGTCGATGGTATGAATGACATGGAATTGTTCACTATGTCCTCATTACCTGCTTGTGCAGATTTTCTCTCTCAAATCAATGAGCTTTTGTAGACATTTAATCATATTGTTAGAGCTCCCACTCACTGGTTTGGTCCTCCCTTCAGTTTTTTGGGTTTTGGGTAAGATACAGAGCATATCTCATAACTGAATACAAATCTGTGAAAAGCCAGATTCTCAGAAAAACTCCAGCTCATAGGCCACTGCCCTCTCATTTCCAAGTGCGACTCAAGTCTAACACCCAACCAGCTGTCCCACACGTGTGCCTGTGGCACTGCACTCACACAAAATCTCCCCGAGAATCACGGGCTCCCTCACAGACATCTTTTTCCTGCAGACCTTGCTTCCAGCCAGGAGACCTGCACAGCTCCTCAAAGAAAGTCTGGAGGGGGGTTAATGTGAAATGCCAGGGAACTAAAGCCTAGAGGATGCAGACAACCAGCTCTCTAGTTGATTTCCTGGCATTTGTTTATATTTCCTGACCACCCAAAATACTGTTTTCATCCATCCCAACATGGGAAATAGCAGTTCCAGTGTTTGAATGAAGTAATGCTCCTAAGGAGATCAAGTATTTTTCTGAAGTATCATAAAAGCAATGAGCGTTAGCAAGAGCCATCTGCTGCTCTGGTGCCAGGTTTACCAGGGCTTGTGCACAAGAAAAGAGAAAAGGGTTGGTTTGCTCTGGGTTAGGTTGGGTTGGGCTGGGGAACTTCTGTCTTTAAATCACACAATCCCTGCTCTGTCCTCAGCTCCAACTGTGTGGGGTTTAGCTGACATTGTGCCGTTCAGGCGCAGAGATGAGTTCTACTCACAAAGTATTCCTGTTCTTTTTGCTCTTTGTCACTTTTCCCCATATTTTGGCAATCAAGGTCAAAGTTGAGAACCAGCACGACTTCCGGGACATGGCCAGCATAGTAGCCATGGCAAAAACCTACGCCACCACCGAGCCGTTCATTGACTCCAAGTATGACATCCGAATCCAGAAAATCGGCAGCAACTACAAGGCTTACATGTGAGTGCATGGCTATGCCAGAGCAAGACGGGGGGAGACAGTGCTGTGGATGTGACTGAGTCGGTGTCTGCTCTGGGCAGGAGTAGGAAGCTGACTTAATTTCCTTGAAGAATAGCCCTTCTGTTCTCCTCCCACCTCTGAACCCAGATCCCTCATCCACCCATCATCTTCTCCATTACTCACCGTCAGCTCACTATTTCTGGAATGTAAATCTCTACCTGTTTCTGAGCTTGACTTAGTTCCCACTATAACAACTGTGCTTTGCCATCACCTGTGACCTCCTCCTCCTGCTGTCAAAGGGCTCATCTTTCCCAGCAAAATCCTCCCTGTACCCTCTGCCGGGAACCGAACCCACCCCATTCCCCACATAGGGAAAAACAATAAAGCGGATTGAGCCAGCTGCAGGTCATGGAGTCCTACAGTGTCCAACCCATAGCAACAGCCCATCCTCTCCCCAGCTGGAGCTGATGGCATCACAGTCACATGAGGAGCACACAGCTCCAGGTACAAATGGCCTCAGCCTGGCCATTTTGCAGCTGTGCTCCTTGAAGCATACAAAGAAGGGAAAGGAGAAGGAGGGACATACCCTGCCCTGTGGGGTTGTGAAGGAGGTGGCATGAAGGCAACCCACAGCACTAGTACACTTAAAAATATTAAAAAGCATTCAGCCAAACTTCAGTAGTAGTCAAGCTCAGTTAAAGATGAAACCACAAGAGTCAGTAAGACACCTGTTTCTCCTTACTGCAAACCAGTAGATGAGAAAAGCCAAATAGCACAGCTTCTCCAGAAGCTCCTTATCCAGCCGCAAAATTCTGGACAAGTAGACAGCTCCAGGAGTACATTCTTTAGGTCGCCAGATAAATTGCATATGTTGCCTAACACCCGTAACACTGTGAGTTCTCGGTCCATGTTTACAACCCCCTAGGCCATAATTCTGGTGGAACATAGTTAAATAAGATAATCAAATGTACACGATCACATACTTTTCAGCTATAGCTGCCTAAAATTCCCAGTTGGATTCCTAGCACTGAGGTATTTAAGTAACTAGATAATGACTGAGTCACATTCTTCATGGAAAGGACTTGTGAGACACTTGGCCACTTCATGAGAACTCAGTGAGAGAAAATTTGTTTTGAATCTTAACAGGTCAACAATAGCACAGTTGCCTAATATTACATTAACATCTCAGGGAGACTGGCGCAAATTGGCCAAAGGAAGGAAGGTTTAAAATATCAATTAAAATTCCCTATTCCTGCCAACCTACCCAGCCTTGGCTCCAAAGCCTGCTCCCAGCCTGCCTTTAAGTGAAACAAAGGTCCAGTTAGCCTGACCATATCCTCTCCTTGTTTATTATTCGCACTCACCATGCACTCATCCAGAAAGAGATCAGAAACAATACCAGATGATTGAGGAATGAAAGCGGTCACACTAAGAGCTAATCCCACTTGGGAATATAGCTGCACAAACAATTGTTTCCTAAATGAAAAATGTTTTCACATGAAAACAGCCATGAACTGGAAACACCTTAATGAGAAATGAAGCTTATTAGTAAAGAAAGCAAACGGCAAAATTCACCCAGCAACTTGCTAACCTGGAAGGTTGATTTATACTGAGAGACATTTATGGATGTGAGCTTGGGAGAGACATACAGTTAGTCCCATAGGGAGCTGTTCCTTCTGTCCCAGTATCAGAAAGAATAGAAAGTTATTTCTATGGTATAAATAAATCCCTACTATATCCAAAGACAGAGGTTAAAGCACCCACAATATCAGAACTCTCACTGGTCTCTCAAATAGAAGACTCAAAGTCATTAGTCATGCTAGCAAATCTCAGCCTGAAAGGCAATTACAGCATCTGCAGTAGTGTCATACTAAGTGAATTGCTTTGATCTGTGAGCCATGGAATCTACCCAATATTTTTATACCTTCACCCACACATATAGACTTTAAAAGCCCCCTTCCTTCTGAGAAAAGACTGTACTGAAATTCTCCAGAATATGTTTACTTTTCACCAAGCATCTGCCAGAGGGAGGATGCTGCAGGGTGACTCATGCATTCCTCCCCGCCCCAGATGTTCAATGCACTTCCTTCCAGCCCATGACCCAAGGCTTGAGTTCAGTTTCCCATTGATTTCAGTTCAGTGACTCCAGATCTACACTACTAACAAACACCTACTTAGCCCATGCCTTGGGCCAGTCTCCAAACAGCAAATAAGCAGCATGTGATACATGCCTAAAATTCCACCAAATGTATTTGACTGTCATTGTAATAGTGGCGAAGAGAAAACACAAATACTGTTCATGTGGCTAGGGAAACTGGGGCAGAAATTATGCTTCTACCCTTACCCCAACTGGGGGCAGAGGTATCATTTCCAGCCAAGACTCATGACATGTTCACTTTGGATGAAGCCAGCAGCTGTGCTGACTTTTAGGGTGAGATATTCCTAGCCACCAGCTCTCACTAAGCAGGTAATATACTTTCCTTTCCAGTTTCATAAGAGCGACTTCTGATCTTGCCACCTCGAAGGCAGTTCAGTGTGTTCTGCAGGGGATACAACATCAGCTGTGTTTAAACTAGTGCTACTTTTAGACTGATATGGCCCAGCTTGGAGATGGTGTATGTAAGTCACCAACAGCCCATGATCTGCTAGTCTATCCACTTACCCTAAGCAATGCTGCAGGTGTCTTGGTCACAGATCTGCTTGATCCCTAAAAACCTGCTTACATTTGGTGTGCCAGGTACCTTTTCTAAACACTGATATCCAATAATCTTGTCACTAATCAGACTCTGGCAGTTCTCATCAGTACTAATGGGATCCTGGATGCCATCTTCCACTGCGGGGCAATTTTCTGAGTCTAAATGTTAATAAAGAGTGATTCTTCCGATTGCAGAACTGAAAAATGTAATCCTAGGAATCCTGTGTCGAAAGAGAAAGAGAGGCTGAGGGTTGAACACTGGACTTGCGGGTCATAAAAGGGCTTGTAACAGTCAAAGCTTGAGTAGGAATACATTCTTTTGCTTAGAAAGTAGTGCAGGAAAATTTATGTTGGGTGAAAGGAGCAAGGGACAAGAGTCAAATATACAGAAACACAGTTATTCAACACAGTAATCATGATCCTTTGCCCCCTAACTCCCCACCATCCCACCCCTTTAAATGTGGTTACAAAGACTATTTACATCTCACAGCAATTATGCATAAGACTTTAGAGGAGAAATGGAAAAAAGGCTCTGGACTGTCCCTCACCAGAGTAAAGTGGAATCTTAGTCAGTCAACTCTAATGATCCAGGTTTACAGTCTAACAGGACATCAGTATGACCACTGCTTCACATAGATTTGCAAGTTCAGAGTCTCTTTTCCACATCATGTTGAAAAGGCAAGAGAACTGGCAGTGAGGGTTTCCACAACCTCATGTTGAAGTGTTGGATCACACCTCCTTCTCCCCTCATAAATCTCTACCTAAATCTTCTTCAGCTTGGAGATGCTCCCTGGAGCATCCTGTCAGCCTGTTGACTTGTTCTAGCTTGTACGCTATGCCAGGGTTATCTGCACAATGTTATCGAAGCAGGTTGGCCAAGGGTTGCCTTGTCCTTCAGGTCAAGAAAAAGAAAGTGTTCACCCCTTGAAGGATGATGGTGAAACTCAGGATTTTCCAGCAACAGTGTCTTGTTGTTTGGAAATTAACCACCAGTAGCAGCTGACACGACTCCAGCAATTTTTGCAGTTATAAATTCTCCAAGTCCAGACACAGTGGGCCATGGACAGGTCAATGTAAATTCAGTGAAAAGAGAGTATAATCATATATTCTATGACATTAGTACAATCAAAATCAAAGTTAGGGATACCCAGAATGTCAGAGCTGACATTTGTGAAGCCTCACAGGCAGATGTTTGCCTGGAGAATTGCTCATTCATGGAGGTACGATGCTACCCATTGCAGAGCAGAAGGGTGATAATCCCAGTGATTTACAGACATTTCAGCTTTCCTGGGCCTAATGTATAAAGAAAGTAGTCACAGACTGATGTGTGTTCAAGATTCCTTGGAATTTTCCCTGTCTAACTTCTCATTCAGTTTTGCATTAGCCTGAACAACATATCCTGTATGGAGTGTTGTTGAGGCAGGATTTAGAAATGCTTCTGTGAGGAAGAACCTCACCTCATCCCCTCCTGTACAAGCACTGAGTCAAGGATGAGGAGGACCACAGTACAAGGGAGGATGGGGTAGGAGTGTATTTTCATGTTTGGATTATGGTTTTGGTTTGTTTTCCTAGGAGGACATCCATCTCTGGAAACTGGAAGGCAAACACGGGTTCTGCGATGCTAGAACAGATTGCAATGACAGAGAGGTAAGGAAGAGGGTTTCGAGACAGTGTTAGCTATTCTTGGGTAAGAAGGAAGGAATTGTATTTCAGACTGATTAATTGAGAGAACTGGTAAGTGAGGTCTCCTGGGAGGCTGGATAAAAGAGTTTAAAAGACCAAGTGTTTCCTTATAAAAATACTAAGGACACAAAGGCAAACTGTCCTATTTTGGAGAATGGACTGGAAGTACAGCTAGAGACCAACACTGCTAACCCGTTAGAACTTCAGTGAATGTAGCCACAGGAAACAAGACCAGCATGCTAAGGTCAAGCACACTAGTGCAAACATGTAGGGATAAAAAATCAGAAAGGTCACAGCACAAAACAAGAAGTGACAAGAAGTTATTCTAAGCACATTACTAATGAGAGGCAGACACACAAAAGTGTTTTTCTTCTGCTCAACAGAGGGAAAAATCTGTCAGCTGAAGTGTTGAAAGCATTAGTCTCCCAAAAGTGGACCCTATTTTTGCTAAGGTCTTCTCACTGCTGAACAGAGCAGAATTGCCTCGTGCAGATGGTAATTCCATATATTCAAATCACTGTAATAGTTGCTAACATTGCAACTGCATGACATTTTTGACCCATGGTAACTTACGCTTTGCTGTAACTCCCAAACCCTATTCTGCAGTACTGCTATCACATCACTTGTTTTCCATACTACTTAAGTAGATTATTCATAAATTTACAGAATCAATAGATTATGTGCAGGTACTCATCCTCAGTGAATCTAAGATTTTTTCAGATTATACCTGCAATTTGTCAGGATTCAGATTAATTCCGAGTCTGTCCAGGTTTGGGCATCACATTCAAAGAGAGATAGCAAGGAGATGAAGAGAGCCCAAAGGACAATAAAGGGAATACTCAAAAAAACCATAATCAACCTATGAGAAAAGCATGCAGCAATTGTTTATGTAGTTTTCCACTTTTTTCAATTAGCAGACCACTAGTATTTTTCCAGTAGAGGTGTAAACTTATGCATAATGAGTCTGTGCCTGCAGTGCAGAGGTTCACTTCTCTTCATTAGCTGTCATAGAACTGGAAGAAGTTGTCCACAAGCTGAACACCATTTCATCCTAAAAATGAAAAAACTTAAAGGCACACACTCTTCAGATACATAAAATGCTTCTAATAGGCATTGCTCTTTATACTACTAGTACAATACTGTAAGAAATAATGGACTTAAATTATAGCAGAAAAGGTTCTTTTGAACATTTCCTGTATTTCCTAACAGTAAGGATAGCATAGCACAGAAATGGATTGCCTAGATGAGATGAGGAATATCCATACTCTTTCAGACTAAGCTAAAGAAATGTCTCCTGCGTGGGCTACAAGAGCTGTGCAGGTGGTCATCTAAAGTCTCTTCTGCACCTTTAGTTCTGTGAAACAGCGAAGCCAAACCCTAAATCAGATGCTGAAAGTCACTCTGCAAGACCTTAATAGGACTGTGGGACCTGGACGTTATTGTTATGCATCCTGGTTGTTTATAGCACAGCTGAAGCTGGAGAAATGAAGGGTAGACATTCCCTAAGTGCAGTGTTGTAGGACTATAATCCAGACTCCTGACAACCTGCTACGCTGCATTTTGAAAGTTCATTGTATAGATTAAGTACCACAATTCACCACTCTAGCCTTACCCAGACATAAACGCAACAAATCCCATTGAAATCTCTGAGTCATCACTGCATGCAGCAAGGCAGGAGTGTGCTGAAATGCTCTGATGAGTAGGAGCAAACTGAAGTACCTACTGTACTGAACAGTAGCCCAAAGGATTGACGTGTTCAGATAATACTATGCAAAATGTCAGTAAATCCTCTGCAAATGCTACCCCAATGCATATGCATGAATATGCTTTTGTGTCCCGTAGCACTGTTACTACACCCGGCATGACTGACGCCTCCCAGTGCTCACCTAGGGACAGCAATGTTGAAGGCATGTGGCTATCAGGGTCTCTGGGACAGCCAACAATTCCCTAAGCCCGGCTGCTGAGATATCCTTTGGGGAGAGAGGTGGTTCCCATGATGATGCCCCTAGGTTTGAGGCCACAGCAGTGCATGAGGGGGGCTCACTGTGGCTCCTGGCTGGCTCAAGGGGCCCAAAGTTCTCCTCCTCCTTATCCTACTGCCTCCTTCTCAGGCACTGTCTTCCTCACAGGGGCTGGAGGAAGAACATGCTCCTCATTAGGGGTAAGAGAGCACTGGTGGTCATATAAGCCTCAGACACTGTGTTCACACAAGCTGATCATTATATTGTTGAGCTATGGGGACTGTGGCTGGCTTCAAGGATGTAAACTTGTTCTTTGGCCAGAACAGCTCTTTTCTCAGTCCCTGTAGGGTCTGCAAAATGTCAGTGTTTTCATGAGACTGTGGCCTTCCCTCCCCTCTCCGCATCTTGTCATGGTCCTGCTTACAGATCTGCTGTTCTGAGATTATTGTTTTTATTGAAATGGTGAGGACTGCGGCACAGCTGCACAGGAAATAAAACCAGACCGCCTCGTTCCCTCCTCATTTCCACAGCGGGGAGATGCAGTCCCCCCCATAATATGCCTCCTGTCGTTCTCTCTGCTCCTCTGACACCAGGATAGCTAAGGGGGCACCAACTCATGTTCCCATCCTGAGACAAAGGCTGCAGCCTGTAGCTCTCCCTCTAACAAAACAGTGCCTGGTCCATGTGATGGGACTGCCTGGGTAGGAGCAATGCCTAGAGGATAGGAAGGAGACAGGATGAAATTGAAAGAGTAAATTGTAAAATTCAGGAGCTGCTGGGTTACAGATCAGGGAGGGGATGGCTACTCCTTGCTAAATTCTGCACTCACTTTCCGATCCTTTTCCAGACCCAGGACATCTTATCAGGAGAAAGCTGCCTGAATAATGGAGGGCTTTCAGGCAAAGCCAATACAAACGCTCAGGGGCCAACACTACCGGGAGATTAAATGAGCTAAATATTTATAGCTTGGCTAAATGACAACCAACTGGAGATCTGATGTAAACAGCAAGGAGGGAAAGAATATTTTAAGGTGGCTTTGAGGGCTGGATTGAAACAATCTGAAATGAAGGAAAACTTTAGCCAAGATTCTTTTTGTTTTGCTCCATCCCACGTGCAACAGAGGGAGGCAATGACCCAGCAAAGCATACGAAGTATGCCTTGTGCTAAAAAGCGCTCCAGAATCTATTCGTGCTCCTCGGAGCAGCGGGATGGGGGGCTGTATTTGATGGACTACCCAATGACAGCTAAACCATGCTTCTGTGGTTTCTGCAGGTACAGACTCTGGGCAGATGCCTGCGCGGAAATGTTTGGAGGTCTTGACATCTGTGCTGTCAAAGCTGTCCACAGCAAAGATGGAAAGGACTATATCATTGAGGTGAGAGCATGGGGAACCTGAATGCAAATCTCCTTTGGGAAGTGTTATCTGCATACACGCTCCCTCGGAATCCACACGCACCATTACTCCTGCATGCATGGTTCAACAGACCCTGCTCCTCTGTGCCCACCTGTATCCTCCAAGCTGTGGCCCACTGATGTGCAAGAAACTGATTTAGAGCCCCAGCTAAACTGGCAGATAAGCAGCAAGGTGTCAGAGTTGAAGTACTTCTGTTTCTCAATGTAGACTGTGAAAGGAAATGGAGAGCCACTAAGTGCTTGGCCACCCCAGCTCTCCAGCTGTTAGATCCCCACAGTGCACAACCTTACCAGCATGGGACAGATGTGAAACTTACCTTCTTAGACAACTGCAGGTGTTGCTGGTGGCATCCAAAGTTTTGTGCGCCTCAGTGCACCAGTAGAACCCTTCTCAGGTTAAGTACTTGCAAAGCCATCACATCTACCACAGTTGCTAATAGTGACCAACAGCATCATGAATAGACATGCTCATATCCAGCCCAACCTGAATTCAGGTGCCAGGTGATGCTAGCGTATTAGTCATGTTAACATCCCCTCATTACCCAGAGGGCCAGCAGGTTATTCAGTCCAATAAAAATCGCATTTCTCTGTGAATAAACCTGTCTTTCTCCAATCACTTTAAAGGGAACCTCAATAACAAAAATCCTAGCTGCATCTAATTTAAGAGTAAAATAAATGGTAAGAGTGTAGCAAAAAGGCCCATAAGCAGCAGAAAAGATTTAATAAAAAAAAAACCCAAGATGTATTTTCTAAAGTCTTTGCTCTGACAGAATTCACTGCAATAACAGACCAGCAGGACAAAGCACCGCAGGGTTACTCTGGGCAGTGTGGACTACAGACTTTTGTGTTCAGAGCTGGACAGACTGTGGCTCTGAGAGCTAAAGTTCAACTTGCTCCTTGCCAGAGCAGGGGGCAGATGTGGGAGTGGGGTAAATAGGGTCACCCTAACAGGGCAAAGAAGGGAAAGCTGGCCAGAAAATCAAAGTGGAAACTTAAGAGACTCTCTGGGGGAGAGAAAATCTGGCAAGTAAGCAAGAGCCTCTGTCACTATGTGACTCAAGGAGGCACAGCATCTGACCTGCTGTAAACTCCACCAACACAGGCCAGCCGAGGAAGATGAGCAGAGGCAGCCTATGGCTTCATGCAGGGGTGCTGACACACTGGAAAGCTATGTGTGGGAGAGCAGTCCCACCCGCTGAGGGTTGGGATGCTGATGAGAACCACATGAGCCCTCCAGCGACTGCACATTCCTGCATTATGTATCTGTTCTCCAGGGAGCAGTGACCTGTCAAAGGCCATGTGATATAAGTGTGCTGCCAGCAATCAAACACTCCATCCTTCCTGAAGTGATGGAGCCGTGGCTGATGGCTTTGCTCCTGTATGCAACCTATCAGCACCTAGGGGAGCATCCTCCAGAGCAGACTGTCTCCCTGCCACGCACTTTTATATCCCCATGCACATGTAGCTGAGAAAGCAAGAGCAAGAAAGCAGTATTGCTAGAGATGACTGTAAGGACTGTGTCCATACATGGTCAGACATGAGATGTGGTTTTCATATCCCTGCATCTATTCATATCCGTAAGCCTATGTACGTGCACACATGGCTAATTCTGCACTCAAGGATTATATGCCTCTGTCTGGGTATACCTCTGGGTTTTCACATCTGCCCCGATGTGTGACTGACTGGATGAAAAGCACATCCATATGCTAACAGCCATCATCAGCCTGCACACAGAGAGAAAAGCATGCTAATACTCCTCTCCCCAAGGCCAAGGTAAAAAGCAATGGATCTAATACGACAGAAAGCAGAAGGAACACAACAGCTACAGACGGGTCATGCTGAATTATCCCTGCGGAGAACCTGATTGAGCCAGCCTGATGTACCAACATCTAGCAGGCATTCAGATGCCAGGCTGATAGACATTGTTGGGAAAGGAGTAGAGTAGTGTGATACAAAGAGCAGAACAAAGCCAAACGGGCACCTTTTCTACTTCATGCAGATCTGAGGGAGATGCTGGCAAGTAATTAATTGCCTCCAGCCTACTTCCAGGGGTACTTTTCTTGGTTTGAAACTGAGCCTTTATTTTGCTTTCTTCTTTTGCTTGCTGGAGAAAAAAGTTATTTGACAGTGTGACAGTTGTATTTTTCTTGGTGAGAAGGAACAGTGTGCTGTGACATTCTGCAAGAAAGCACGCCTAAATGGGCTGAACAAACAAGGAATTTGCACAATGCAATTGCAGGCAGTAATTAATTTTCGCAGTGCAAAGCAGTTCTCCAGGAAAGATTTGCAGAAGTAGTGATGGGCATTTCTAAGAATTGAGATTTATCACAGTGGCTTGTTGCAAACAGAATCGGATTAAGACACATGAGCAGCACAAGAGTAATCTTGCACCCACGGTATTTGCTGTTACTCAAACTTCACCTTTTTTTCCCATAGGAAACAGCAGGATCTAATACATTTCTGCCCTTCCAAGCACTATCACACTTACGTACCATTTTCATGGCTCATATTGAAAATTTCGTGGAAATCTACTGATTCTACTACTCATTCTACTAAAACAGCTGTGAATTTAATGGTTAATGCTGGTACTTCTTTTTCCCCTGCTTTAAGGAACTTTGTCACCTCAGGGGAATATTCAGCATGAACAGTCAGCACTTGATCAGAAGGCCAGGTCCCCAAAACAGTGCAAGTTCAGTACCACTGGAAGGACCCACATTCTCAAAAGAGCTCAACATCTTGCACAGCTTAATAATCTTCCCCCCTTCCTTTTTCTGGGTGGAAGGGGTAATCTAACCCTTCTTCATATCTCTGCTATGCTGACAAATATGGAATGAGTAGAAGGCAAATAAAATCATCCATGTGATTATTCTTCCTCCTGGATCAGCTAAGCTCTACCTTCCATACAGCTAAGCTTGTGTTACTAGATATGCTCCTTGCTGCCCTGCAAGAAGCCCTGCCCACTCCTTCAGCACTGCCATATCAGTTCTTTTGATATGTCTAATCATCTGTTTCCTTCCTTCCTTTCCTAAAAATCACCTAACACTCTGCTCTTGCACATCAGAGCATGGAATAACAAGTCCAGCCTTCAGGCCTCAGTGTCAGATAGGACTGAGATGGGGTTTTCCTGAGTCTCTTCTCTGCCTGGCTGCTTTCTGCTCCCCCCGCCTTGTACACCTTATCAGGCAACAGCATCTGCATCAGGAGCAGGCACTGACCTTGGGCGGCTACAAAAGCCAGGTCCATATGTGCCGACATCTTCTTGTCTTGCCCGGCTGTTCTGTGATCTCCCCAGGATGAGATGAGAGCAATCTGTCTTCGATTCACATGTTCCTCTCAACCGTTTGATTTATTTCAGCGTTGGCGCTTGTATCGGCCTAGTTCCAGAGCAATCCCCCTTTCCTGGAGAACAGACAAGGTGACATCTCACGATCCTTTTCAGTTCAGTGGCCACCGACTGTGTAACTTTGCCCAGAGAAATCACTGCCATTTTCAAAGACCTTCCCCTACATACATCGTTGTTCACTCCCATATTTGCAATCTCCTACCACTTGTATTCCCCTGTCAGACACTACACAGCAGGACAGTAGATACCCTCATTGCTAGTGCACCTTCACTGGTTCAGGTGGGACCTTCCCCACGGTTCATTCCCACCCGTGCCTTTGTTTTACCAAATAGCATCTTCCCTTTCCTCTCCAGCCACTGCTGCCACAGAAATAGGGGAAAGAAGTCCTTAAGATGGGGAAATTAGGAGTTTGAACTGTTTTGACCAGAGCTGTATCTCGGTTACTCACAGGAAGGGTTAGGGACTCAAGAGCTAGGCTTGCCTGGCCAGCCCGTTAGTAATGGCAGAGTAATGGCGTCATCTAGTGGTCACATAGTTCCCTCGCACGGTGCTTTGCAGAGAGCTGGGAGACCTCTTGTCATCGTGAACTGGAATTGCCCAATGAAATGGAAATGCTTTTAAGGTGGGAGTAGAAGGATGGGAAACCTGCACAGAAACCTGCTGGAGGACCCCCAGGGATCCCTGGCTAGTGAGACACAGGCAGGAACTGGCCATTCCCTGACACTGCTGCAAGTATCTCCTTGCCCCACTTCATTTTTTAACATAGAAACAGCAAAGTGCACAGTGGAATGAGAAGCCATTTTGTGTATTTAACTGAGCGCTGCCATCTAATTTTCCAACCCCCTCTTTTCCACCCCTGGGCCAAGTAGGCCATGGATAATAAACACCAAATTACTCTTCACGCAAACTCCACTTAAAAACTTGCTAGGCAGCTTCTGTAGTGTTTGTAAAAGACACTTGTGGAAATCAATCCAAATTAATATTCTGCAAGAAAAGACTAGAATACGAACTCAGTGAACTCAGTTCACTGATTTCCCCCACTTTAGAACTAAAAAAAGAGTTCAAAACTTTCCATTTCACCCCAAGAGTGGACTCTTGCAGCCTTGCCAGGGTGGAGTGCACTTGTGATTGTTATCTGAGCATGAGTCAGTGTCTTTCTTGAGCAATGCAGCCTTCAACTCTGCATTTCCAGGGGTTTTAATGTTTGGTTTAAAAATAAAAGCAAAATAAACTAAACTCTTCCAACCCTGATATTTTGGTACAATTCTATTTACTCCAGCTGAATCTTAACTTCATCATAGTGCAGTTCTTCCTGTGGGACTTAGCTAATGTTTGCAAAGCATTTGATTTATGATGAACTGTTGAAAATCCAGTTTAGGGCTGCTATACAGCTGAGGGTCTGCTGTGCTTTCATTATTATTGCTGTTGTCACACCATTTCTTACCCCAAAGACCCTTTGGACACTTCTCCCTCCCCCATGCCCTCAGTCTTGCTTCTCAGCTTTACCCAGCACAGTTGTAGTACCTGCCCGGCAGTCATATCACAACCATATCAGGAAGACAAGCAGAGAATAAGTTTACTTCCCTGCATTGGGTGCTGTTGTTTTGGTGACATCCTTTTCATTACACGTCTGTGGTGTTTATTTCCCCTCTAAGGGTGCAGTGCTTTCTGATTAATTCCAAATGTTTCCTGGTTTCCTCCAGTCCCTGTTGCTCTCATCTCCTCAGGCTCTGGTACATATCGTTTCCCTTCTCCTGTGGCCCTTTCTGCTGCAATGTCGCCCCCAAATACTGTGGGACAATGCCAGAGAGACATCATCCATCACAGGCATCTCCTCAGGATATGTGAAGAAGAAAGTTTGTGTTTAGTTGATTTAGAAAGCCTCCAGCCACCAGAAGTCTTGGATTGGCTTCCAAGTCATGAAGGGAAGGAAGATGGGGAGTGGGGAGGAAGTACATGCTGTTTCCAAAAAATCCTAAGCAAAATCCCACACCTCAGAAAGTCGAGCATGTTTCAGCATGGAGCAGAGTGGTGACTACAGGTGTTGGCAAGGATTTGGAGACACAAAACAAGTTAATTTGAGAGGTGAGTTGAAACAGGCATCTGCCACCGGGAAATCTTCTTACTAACTGTTGTTTTTCCCTCCTGTGGCAGGTGATGGACAGCTCAATGCCCCTGATTGGGGAACATGTAGAAGAGGACAGACAACTTATAGCTGATCTGGTTGTTTCCAAAATGACTCAGCTTGTCATCACTGCTGGATCTACGCCATCACCACTGAGACCTTGGGTATGAATGAATAGAGACCTTATGGCAAAGTTGCTTTCCTGAACTTTTTATTCTCTCTTTGCTCTCCACGGGTGTCAGGCAGTCAGACATCTCAGAAATCAAACAGTCCCACGTGAGAGTGTACTGGATAGACTGACTCCTGCTCTTCCAAAGTCTCTCCTAGACTCTGAAGTGGGTGCCCCTAAGAAACACCTCTTTCTCCCTTCCTATCCTTCCGTATAACTGTGACAACACCCAGTGGTGTGGTCCATGTATCTAGACATTCTGGCTTGCTGAATTCATAAATTCATATCAAAGCCATTTTTAGAGGTTCTTGTAACACCCAAATTCATCTCCACCTAACACCATGTCTCAGGATAGGTTTCATTCCAGTTTTTGCATCTCTGATAAAAATCTGTGCTTCCCAGAACAGAAAGTGAGAATCTTCACCAAGAATTGTTCCATTCCTTACTGCAGCCTTTCTTCTTTGGAGATTCCCTTCACCCCCTTCATCAGGAGGAGGCTTGACTAATGCTAAATTCATATAAGAACCTGTCATTTTTGCATTTAAACTGACCCTTTAGTGTTTCTCATGTACATTTATTTTGAGTATCACATGCTCCTAATCTTAGTGCCACATTTCCCAGTTGGAGTTCCGTATAAACGAAACGCACCAGACCACAATCTGTGTCTCTGGGTGTATGTATGTGCTGTACTTCTTTCAGTATCTAGCAGGGAGCCAAGAACAAAGGTTTGAGGGCAAAAAATCTGTACAAAAGAAAGGAAAGCAGAGTAAACAGCCTGAGGGATAATGCTGACTGCAATGAACTGACCAGCTTCCATATCCACCTGAGACAAAAAAATGGGAAAAAGTACTTCATAGCTTTCTGCCTTTGCCTTATGACACTCCTGCTAAACCAGATCCCCAGCATGAAGGGTGGTCATGCTAAACTCCAAGTTTTAGCTAGAGTGAGCAGGTAAACATTTAATAGACACTAAAAATGCTTTGAGGCTGGGAAAGTGATACAGAGGGGATAGGATTTACTGGGCAAAGTGGAATCCACAACCGCCATCTGAAATAGCCAAGACACAGAGGGTATAAACTAAGAGCAAAGGGGAAGCCAACAGAAACAGAAAACACAGATGATGCATCTGCTTTCTATGTATGTAATATACTGATATAGTGTCAGATTGGATTGCAACAGACCTAAAATATGGCTGAAATAAGAACAAAACAAATGGTCTTAGAGGGATAGCATGTCAAATAGAAGAGTTATATACGAGAAGGGTCTTCATCAAGAATACAACCTACAAATATCTGTATACGAACCCAAGAAATTAAAACCGTAAACATGTTAACTAGAGTATTTTGCTATAGAGAAAGACTGTGGTACAACAAACATTGCAGGAACTGCACACACTACAGATACTAACATAGAAGTACAGATACCAACACGAAGTATAAATGTGCAGAGAGAAGTAATTACACGTGAGGCTTGTGAGATGTGGAACTAGAGCTACAGGTGAAGACTTGTCATTTTTCTCAGTTCTGTCAAATTCTGAATACAAGGACAGCAGTACTTAACACACAGAAATATGAACCCTTGGATATCCAATGGGTATGCATAGAATATTAACACATATTATTGGAGCTGTCTGCACTAGTCTCTAGATCAAGAAAAACCAGGAAATTATGAGACCAAGTACATAGCATTGACAGAGATGGAAAAAGCAGTAAGTCATAATAATGTGAGACTGCAGCTATCCAGCAGCAAGTCAAATAGCACAACAGCAAATCAGAGCGAGTTCTCCATCTCTGTAGGTGTCTGCTTCCTGTAACTGCAGAATCCAAGCACAACAGGAAACAACAACTTGACCTAGCCCTAAGAAACACCCGGGTACAAATTCAGAAAGCGAATATGCACCGTGAGGTTTGATGTCCAAGGGACAGATGCGATACCAAAAAGTAACGGTATGACACAAGCAGCTAGAAAATTAATCAACTCCCTAGCATTAAAAGTAAAACTGTATGGATGTTATTTGAGAGATCGGTGTTTCCCGGAATGCATATATACATTTCTGATCTTCTCCTGAACCAGGAATGTAAGAAATAAACTTCAAGAGTTAAGCGGCAAACATAAAAACAAAGAGAAAAAAGTACCTTCCAAATCTGGAAATCTGCTACTTAGGAAGACCTTCATGCACCATAATGCAAGTAATAAAACAAGGATAGTAATGTTACAAGTAACATAACAAGGAAAGAAATTGATTTTGAAGAGCAAGTAGAGAAAAGAATGAAACAGATTCTTTGAGTTTATCAGAAGATGGAACCCTACCAAAGAATTGGTGGGATGTATGGATCATCCAAAGTTAAGGGAGAAAAGGAAGACGAAAAAAGACAGCGTTGTGACTCTTGTAAATTTAATTAACTTATTAAGTTAGATACAAGCTCTCCTGTTAAGAAAGACAGGGGAGAGAACAAAAACAGTGGTTAAATCAGTGATGACTTCTATTAAGCCCCCAAACCCAAATGGCTGCGTCCAATGAACTGAACTTAGGAAGTGACTAAGCTGCCAAAAAATAAAACCCACCACAATTTCATTAGATGCAGTTATTGCTCCAGAGAATTGGTGTACAGTAAATACAAAATACGTGTTTAAAAAGTTGAAAGAATAATGTAGGAAAATGTAGACAAGTCATGAACTTTAAGAATTACCTCAGACAGTAATTTAAAGAATAATACGGAGGTTTAATAAACCAACAGAAAAACAGTTCAAGATCATCTACCACATTGGGTTTGGTTTTTTTTTTTGTGAAGAAAATTTCCTTTTGATTCTTTTATCTCTTTTCTAGGAGAATTCTTTCATAAAGTGGTAGATAACAGGCAATCACTCAAAATGTATCTAGGCTGTCAGAAAGTCTTAGGCAAGGTTATAGATGAGCTATTAAAGCAAGCAGGGAGAGGCTAAAAGGCAAAGTTTAGTTGTGGAGCAGGAGCTGGCCTGAGATAAAGACCAGATGTGAGAGATTTTAATTCTTGCAAACAGTTTTCAGAGTTGATACTTCTAAAGGCAAAAGAACTTGGGCTGGCCCTCAACCCTTCATCTCTGAGACGCCTTGGCTGGCTGTAGACAAAGACAGCAGAGGTGAATGTGAGCTCTGATTCCCTTTCTTTGACTGGTCTAATCAGGATGTCTCACAGCATTAGGACAGTAATTTCCACCAACACCAAGGCAAGGTTTATTTTCCCAAGCTATGTAGGACTAGAAGCCACGAATGGAAAATTACCAGATTTTCCTCTGTGTTCATTTGCAAGTTCCAGATAAAAAAGTGTAAAAGATGGGCTGGCAACATCATTACATTTATGTTAGTTAAACCCCATCTCAATGTTTCCAACTGTGGAACATTTCTTCCCATTTCCAGAATCATTCAGCTCATTCTCCTGACCTTCCAGGAGCTTTGGAGACCCTTTTACCATTGTGTTCTCCATGTAAATAATCCAGCATGTACTGGCCTATCTGTCTCCAGCTTCCCCTGCTCTCATAAACAATTTTGTGCAATAGGCTTACTCAGGCTTTTGTTAACTTTGGACTGGCCTTTTGTGCAACAGTTCTATGTTGCTTAATCTGTTTACTAAAATATCTGTCAAAAAGAGTAAGAGTGAGAGAGAAGAAAACGCAGATGGCACCTACTTATTCGCATTAGTCAGGACCAGGGAGGGCCGTGAAGAACATCTGACAGAGCTATGTATGTTAAGTCACCACAACAGCAAATGAAACTCCATATGGAAGATTGAAAGGTAAGATACACTGGGGGTAGAGAGAGGGAGGACATAAACAATCTGTGGACCTTGCAAGTGGCACTAGCCCTTCCCCTTGGGAAAGATCTTGTCACATATAAGCTAATGAAAACCATTGATCAGCCTATGGTTGTGTTGACAAGGGAAAAGCAGGAAATTAGTATGCAGGAGAAGTGAGCTGGTGATGTTTACAGAGAACCCAGATACTGCTTCATCTGGAATAACATAAGCAGACCTGCCTCTGGCATCTGCAGAAAGAAATCACAAAGCTGGGAAAGAGAAGAGGGTGATGAAAACAACTAGGGGCCTGGAAACATTCCCATGGAAGGACTGAAGGGATTCAGTCTCTTGGCTTTAGAAAGGAGGTAAACGAGAGAGAGGGCAGTAAAGGTTTGCAAAATAATGAATGGCCTAGGAAGGGCAGGTTGTGAGAAGTATTCTCAAAACTCAGAACAAAGCGATGGAGTTAAGAAATGGGAAAGGCACTGGGGCTGAGAGCTGACAAGACTCAAAGGGCCTGGGTGTAAATAGCAAAACAAGGTATCTGGAACTTTTGCAAAGATTTTGTGGAGCAGATAATAAGCTTCATGTGTCACAGTTGAAGCTGGCCCTTGCTTATTAGCAATCAAGAGGAGACCCCTTAGGGTAAAGAGATGATTACTCCATAGATGTTTCCACGGTTCATCCCACCTTCCTTTGGAACATCTGGTGCTGGCAACTGTCCAGAATGGGAGATGGGACTAAGAGACCCCCTCAGGCCTGATACATTGGGTAATTCCCAATTGCCTAAAAAATATTCTGAACTGTAACTGCATTGTTATTCCCTCTGAGCAAACAACTTCTGTGCTCTTTATTACTCAGCTCTCCATTTCAGTCCCACAAGATTTTACCAGCCAGATGCTGCATGTGTGTGTGTGTGTATTTAAGGAACACTTCATGACTCCGCAGTTCCTGTATTACCTCAAGGCTTCTCTCTGGGGACTCTGTATTAACTGGAATGGCTTTTTTTCCCCTCTAGCCTCCACAAGTTCAGCCTGCACCAATGAAATCTCAGACTGGACCTCAGCTTGGACAACTGTCCCAACCACGGCCTCCTCCTCAAGGTACCATTCTTTGGTTCCCATGACAGTGCAGACTGTAAGACCTACCAGTCTGCCTTCTAAATAGAAGCTATCGGGATAAAGGTTTCACTCATTGTTCCAATTCACTGACAAGCAGGCAGTAAATTCAGTGTGCTGTTAAAGCAGATGCTGTCGTATTCCACAGCAGCTCAGAAAGTGGATGAAAGTTTGATACAGATCCAGTTGATACTGCTGGTAGGACATGGCTCAGCCAAACAAGGCCAAATGGACTGGCACTAGAGCAGGACTCTGGGCATAGAGTATATTCGTGTTTGCACAAAACTGTAGTAGCCATAAGTGTTAAGAAGTGATGGGAACATGCTAGTGCTGCCAGGCCTGGGGCAGGCACCAATGCAGTGATGCCAGGATCCTTGATCCATCTGTCCCTGTCAGCAAGAGCACACCACCAGCTCCTCCTGACAGCAGGAGCTGGTTTGTCTCACAGTCAGAACAACAGGTGTGATTTATTGTCCTGATTTATGCTGAGATTAAGAAGCAGGGGGCTGCCCCACGGGTAACCAGACCACACCAACCAGTCAGTTCACTTTTGTACCTTCCTTTCTTCACTCCAATCTCCTACCAAATTAACATCCACCTCTGATTATCTTTTCTTCATTGGTCACAGTTTTGCTGTATCCAAAATTCAGTATTTCTGATACCAAACACATCAATGTAATCCTGGCATTACTGATACAAATTGTTGGCCTTGCCACCCATCTCCAATACTCCCCTTCAATTCCCTGTGAAGTATTTTATGGACATACCTTCCCCTTGACCACCCGTGAAATCCAGCCAGCCCTAACAATGCTCTCTGTAACTTCTCTCAGTTTCTCACGTTGTTACCTGTCATATCCAGCAATTCCTCATGTCACATCCATTTGTTTTCCACATCCTCTTCAGTTTTGAGAGTCTGCTATCAATACAGCTAACGCCACCTGATGATAATGCTGGAACAGATGTATGGATAGTGATAGGGTGTGCAGTCTCGCACCAAACTGCAGGGCTCGTGAAGGGACTGCTGACACAAACCAGCACATTCACCTTTCATTTCCTGCATAGAGCTGGTTCTGCAGTGGCTCTTCTTTCCCAACGCAGGAAGCGCTTGCAAAGGCTAAGAAATATTAGTTGCATGGAAGAGTACAGCACACTGAGTGCACACTGAGTACAGCACACTCCCTTTGGGGAGAATGGCAGAGCTTCTTTACTGCTGAAGGAGGTAGAGGAATGGACAGCTCTAGGGACAAGGGGATGCCATCAGTTTTAGGTGTGTAAGAGGTTTTCCCTTATCCTTCTGCATGAAGCTACCCTGCAGAGTCTCCTCCTTAGCAAACCCCATCTTTCCATACAGATGCTCTTTGTTTCTTGCTCACCATGTGCAATCCCTCATGTTTATGCCTACATGTCCCTTTCAGGTGGCCCCCGCCAGCCTCAGGGATCTCAGCCTCCACGGACAAACGCACCTCCACAGCAGCGGCTCTCTCCTCAAGGACAGCAGCCCCAGAGCCCCCAGTCCACTTCCCCTCAGCAGCAGAGGTCACCTGGATCTCCACAGCAAGTCCGATCAGCAAGTGGGTCCTCTCCAGTCCAGGCTCCCAAGCCAGGCGTGTTCCCTCCGCAGCAGCCTAGACCTCCTGCTCAAGGGCGTGCTCCTAGCCAGCCAAGCCCCACTGAAACGTCCAAGCAGCAACCCACCCCTCACCCACATCTGAAGTAGGTGCTCTGTTAAACTGATAATATCTGTAGATATTAGGATAAGGCTGTCAAAAAGTACCCTCAGCTGGTACAAGGATGCCAGAGAGGGTCTGTTCATCTCTTCATCAGGGACTGTAGTGATACGACAAGGGGTGATGGGTTCAAACCAAAACAGAAGAAGTTCAGGTTAAATATAAGGAAGAAGTTCTTTACAGTGAGGGTGGTGAGGCACTGGAACAGGTTGCCCAAGGAAGTGGTAAATGCTCCATCCCTGGCCCTCTTCAAGGCCAGGTTGGATGGAGCCTTGGGCGACATGGTCTAGTGTGAGACGTCCCTGCCCATGGCAGCAGGGTTAGAATTAGATGATCTTAAGATACTTTCCAACCCAAACCATCTGTGATTCTATGGTACAAAGAACTCCAGATGGTGACTATATGTTTAGTAGCTTTTCTGGAGCAAAGCATACCACTGAATTATTGTGGATGTTTGGTAGCAGCCTTTGATGCCACCCTCCATGGAGCATATGTGGCTGGCACCATGGCAGGAAAGATGGGCAAAATAATGTTCAGTGTTGACAAAAAGTTGACAAGTTGATAAGAGCAAATTGGTACACACTAGAACAAAATGTAGGCTAGGAATGAGAAGACAGTTTCTAGGCAGCAGAAGAGTGATGTTCTGGAACATGCTCTCAGTGATGATGTCTATATTAGCAAGACAAACCAAGAGCAGTGTACTTAAGAATGAAAATGCTGGTTCTCAGGATGCAGTCACCACACTATACATATTTCAGGTACTTTAATTTAGGGTCTGGTTTTATGCTGAATGCCTGTTACCGACCAGGAGAAACCACCCAGTGATGAAGCATGGTATTGGGGAAAATTGGGAGATTTACTTCAAAAGCACATAATTTAAGCACAGAACTCAAACACTAGCAAATACACACCCAGCAGGGGCAGTGTGGCCAACCAAGAGACATGGATAACACAGCTGACAGTCAGAGCAGACATGCCAGGGAGGGCAGGCAACAGCATACACATTGCAGGTGACATGTCTGCCAACTTGCCAAACCTCTCATGTTCTCACATCTGAAAGGACAGGACCATCAATCATGGTACAACTGATAAAGACAGAGGTGACCCTCAGTATGAATCCATTGTTCCGTAGTAGTAGCAAAATGACTTAAGTATTCCTCATAACAGTTGCACCAAATGGTAACTGAACACTTTTAGTCAGATGTTTTCATAAACACTAGTGTGGACTGTGATATTGGAGCTACCTGCCCATGTCCCATCCTCTTCCACATACACAACCCCACGCCTCCCCCATTCCTGGATGTCTTAGCATATGGAGATTCTCCTTGCTAACCTTTCATCCTTGAATTTATGCGATGGAACACAAAGCATCAGTCACCAGCTTTGAACTACCACCTTCTCCTGTTGAGTCAGAACTCTGCTTTCCATTTCAGCAAATCGCAGTCCCTGACAAACACCTTCAGCATATCTGAATCATCTCAGCGGGGAAACACCAATGAAGATGAAGCAAAAGCTGAGACCATCCGCAACCTGAGGAAATCATTTGCAAGCCTGTTTTCTGATTAACAGCCCTGCAGCTGTGCTTCTGCCAGCCCTCACTCTTCGTATCAGCATACCTGATGTCATCCTGTAACACGCTCAATGGCACCCAGCGATTTACAACTAACACCTGGGTAAATGGAATTTGGAAAACTGTATTTGTTTTAATACAAAGAAAACATTCTAATAATAATGGTCTGAAAAGTGACTGTGTAAAAGTGGCACTATTTCATTGGGGTATTTGTGCATAATCAGAATCACATCTGTTCAAACGACCAAGTTGTAAAGCAAATTTTACTCTTGCTAACCCCTCCCTCATCAACAGTTATGACAGCACAAAGTAGATTTTACTTAGATTTGTAGATAGTACAATTTGCTAACTCCCAATAACTGAAAAAATACAGGCTTACTTCAGAAACAGATGTGCAAAAATGGAGTCAAGAATAACTATTCATTGACTGATAAAGTAAGCATGCTTGAGCATGGAGACATAGTGAACAGTGAAACTTCATGATACCAACTTTATAAAAAGTCACTTTTCAGAGCAAAACAACATTTCAAGTTAAATACAGAACCAGGCATCATTAAGCGCCAAAGATCACATGAGCAGGTCATCCAGATGGACTGCTGGTTTGTTCCAGATCATTCTGCTCGTAACAGATAAAACATCTCTGTTTCATGCCTTGCGTTCGTGTCCCCTGCACGTGATGGCTGAGCTCTGAGATAAAAATGTCATGTTCTAATCCTGTAGCCCTAGCTCAAAAATAACCTGAGAAATGGGCCTTCAACGCAAAAAACAACTTCTTCCCCTGCCCTGGAAACACCAGAATTCACATGCACAGTTCACACAAATTCCGACAAAACCCAGCTAAACTCCAAGCACTTTAGTGACTTGGTCACATCTGGCTAAGTGTGTCCCCCAGGAACATGCTTAATTAATAGCAGAGCTGATGAAGTGCACATACTTGTGTGCTGAGTGTTCCATAATACCAAACGCACAGAGAGATGGAGTGAAATCCTGTCTCCCTCCCTGAACTCCCATTGACTTACTAGGGAGACTGCAAAAATGAATGCAAGGTGACAAACGTACAATAGAACAGGCAAACTATCCTTTCCAAATAAGATGAACTGGGGTTCATCCAGACACACCAAGCCATGGGAGGGCACGTTGGGATTGTCCCAAGCAGGTAATGAGCAGTGTAAGTCCTCCCTGACCACATCCAAGACTTATTCTGGAGAAGACAGAGATGGATCTTTGGTAGGTGTGCTTTTGTAAGAATGAAGCTGCGTATGAGCACATAGAATCATGGAATCAGCTAGGTTGGAAAAGGCCTTTAAGATCATAAAGTCCAACCTTTACTCCAGGACTGCCAAGTATACTAGAACCAGGCAAAAAAAAACCAAACCAAACCAAGAATGACACAAGCATGACTGGAAAAAACCCACCCTGGGTAAATCAATATATCTATGGCAATTTCTACCAGCTGAGAACCCACCTCTTACACTGTGCTCTATTTATAACACACCTAATGCAGGTGCCAGCCCCCATCCCACCTCCTCAAATTTCCTTCAAGTTTTGTCCACTACTTTAGTCACATACCATGCATACAGCTCCCAGGCCAGACTTCAGGCTTTGCTCTTCCCTTAGCAACTTCACTTTGATGGCACTTCAGAATGCTCCAGGAGGCAGGACATCAGTAAGTTAAAAACATTTGAGCCAATGGTACAGATCCTTGCTGTCACTTAAACAGGGAGATCCGCAAAGCACCAGCAGCATTTGCCAACTTGGATCTTATGATTCACTGGTGGGAATAAAGCCAAACAAGCAATTCCTTCATGCATAGCACCTGTAACTAACATCTAAATCCAATGCAGTCATCTGGAACTTGTATGACCTACACCTGAGCAGGCCTTCACACGTATAATGGCTTTTGTGACCTGTGACCACTTTCAGGCTAGTAACAGCATAGCTTTTCCAGGTTGGAAGGCTCTCAGGAGACTCATCTGGATCAATGATTTATACCTCAAGTTCAGTATTACAGAACCACCAGATTCCCTGATCTCTTTTTTCTTTTTTCCCAGTTCTGTGTTGTCCTTCCAGGTTTGCTAAGCAGTTTACAATGTAGAATCATAAATACATGTCATTCAGAAAAAAAACAGACCCTGCTGTTCTGCAGTCTCCAGGAACAGTAAGAGTGACAAATGGCCTTGAGCAAGCACTGTCCCACTGGCAAAATCAATAGCAGATTAACCAGCTCCACTATATGCAGAGGAGGTAATACAACCCTGGAGGGAGAGGATTTCCTTCTGTAACACTTCCCTCAGCATGATTTATGCCTTTTCCTACTAAACAGTCACCAGAGATAATGAAAGAAATAGAAGTTTACTGCCAGAATCCTCAATTGCTCTATCCCCTGGATCTTTTTATGCCTCTCACCAACACAATCTATACAAAAAATAAGTAGCTAGTGACTAGTATGGCACAGCCCCGTAAATTGACTCTAGTTCATCGCCAAAACCACAATGGTTGGATCATTTGCTGATGCTGCATTTTAACACAGCACGGCTGTGCTCCAACAGACCACAGTAACAGGATAGCACTGTTGACTTCACACCCAGCAGTGGCTCAGATCTCTTAATTTGCCTTCAGCTCCTAGCTGTCATCTTTCTAGGGACAAGCAAACAGGATGGCATCCCCATCCTCCTAGCTCCAGCTTGCAAAAACAAGTGAGAGCAACAGGCACACTCAGGTTAGTTTGGTTACTCCTACAGATCCTGAAAAGCAACTTCAGTTCTAGCCACAGAAAGTGCTTTAATGAAAACACTGAGTCAACTTCCCAAATCAAAATGATGAAAACTCTATACTGTGTTCTATAAATGTTCCAACAGTACACTTCAATCTACAACTATGATGCTCACATACTAGATGTGTGGCTAGCAGGAGATTCACAAATGCATCATCACATATTTGGGTTATCACCTTTGGGACAAGGTTCCTATTCTAAAATCCCTATAGTCTAATGAAGCAAGGGACAGAGGAATACAAAGGGTATATTCTCTGTTTGTATGAATGGGGAACTAAGGTGTACCCAAGAGGTATTCAGGTACTTAAATATAATAGCTGGAGTTAGGGGCATTAAGAAGGCAACAGGAAAGTCAGTGAATAGAACTTACATTTAAATCACAGGGCAGACAATGCCCCACAACAAGCCTTGGGATCTTTCTCACACAGCTGTGAAAATGGAGCATCTGGTCAGAGCTTCCCTTTTGTCCTGCATGCCTTAATTTTCTTCACCTGGGAGCCAGGAAACATTAATAATTTGTTTGGATCCAGCCCAAGGAGCTGGATCCACCTGGAAAATCAGCTTCTATTTTGCTGTTTAGATACAGCCTGAGAAACACAAACTTTCTTGTAATACCTAGGTGTGGTATTTCCAGAGGAATGTCACATATTCCCATGTAACTACAAGTCTTGCATAAAGCTAAGGCTCAGAAGAACAGCAATCCTGCTTGTAACTGCAGTGGTTATTTTCCCCTTTCACTATTGTCAGGCATGTATGTAAGACCTTACCCCCTACATTAAGTCCCAGTTACCTCATCTAGTTGCTTTAAGTTTCATGAAGAAGATAAAACAATAAGTAGAAAAGCCAAGGACTGTAGTTACTTATTTCCAAGTGACTGTTAGTAGCAACCTTAACAGGGCTGGATATAGGTGAACAGTACAGGTAAGAAACACCCACCTTCTGGCATGTCACCTTTTGTGATTTCTCTTCTCAAACAGCAATGACATGTATACCTGACTTAGGAGCTGGTGAAAAAACAAAACAACAGCTAGTTTTCAAGTATTTCCTATATTTAGTCTTCTAATTTTATACTGTTGGTCCTAAGACATTAGAATAAGTCACATCCCTTTATCTTTGGCCCGCAATAACCTTACTACAATGTGAAACAACAATGAAGAAAGGGAAGGAATATCTTCAGGTCACTTAGTGGTTTATCTTTAAAAAGGTTAAGCTCATTTCTCCAAAAACAAACATCCAAATGACAAAATCCAGGGTAAACAGAAGCTAGGGCATCAGCCTGGCAGATGTATGACAATGTCTTCACGGCAGAGAGGGCCCAATTACAAAGCAGCATGGGGCACACTAGCAGAGCAAGCGATGCAATTGTCATCAAGGCATCAGTACCATTGGCATGACAAAATTAACGTATCACACACACACACACAGAGATCATTGTTCCCAGAAACTGCTTGAAAAAAGTGAAGAGCAAGTTACAAATTATCCCTTAAAGCTGTATAACCTTATCTGAGTATTATGTACACATTTCTGAAGCACTCACCACAAGGACAAATGGTGCAAAACCAATGCAGCACAGATTTCCCTTTTCATTTTTATAGTCAGTGGAATAAAAAGAATCACTGCAAGCTCTAAGAGGCCTGACTATACACTTGATTTCAGCCAAAATTCCACTGGAACAAGGCAATTCAACTGCAGGCAAATGCTAAAAAGTAAAGCTGATCTTGGTACTGAAGGGAAACCAGCATCCCCAGATTCTTAAGTGCTTAATTATGGCAGGATTTGCACTGATATGCCATTGCTGTGAAGTAGAAAAGGGAAGAAAGAAGCAATACAACTTCTGACAGCAAAATAAGGTATTGTATTTTACTTCCACTGGAGTTAATAGCAAAAACTTCCTGGCCCTACTAAAGTCAACTGATTTTATACAAAACAAGATGATTAATCACTAAAACATCACCTGAAGAAGCACGTATTACTCATTAAATAGCTTGTATTTAACAGGAAGTGTCATTCCATTTTCACTACTGGAATTTCAAAAATATTTTAGAAAATGGTATCAGCTGTCACAACAGTCATCAGTACAATTTACATTTACAGGAACACTGAGGTCACTCCATCTTAAAAAAATATGTAAGAAATGAGAAGTTCTAGCAAAGTTTAGTCATTCCAGTCTTCCTTTAATTGAGCTCCAGCATCAGCCTGCAGATCTGATCAGGCAACTTTAACAGGGGTCTTGTTAGTTGCTCATTAGTTAATAAGACAACACTTGAAAGGTGCTCATAAATTGCTACAACACATTTCCTCTTGGCAAGATATATTTTGATACTTAAGTAACAGAATTAAATGGTATTTACTGCAGTAAAGTGAGAATTGATTCCACTTCTGCTGGGATCCCATCTCCACTGCAACCGGGTCAACCTATTCAATTCCTTAAGTTAGGCAGGAGGAAAGATTTATTTTTGCACCAGTTTCAGTTCACACACAGAAGTGCAGCCATGTATTACAGCTCCATTTGTAAAGTCAAGGAAGAAGACAAGTTTTGCTGCTGGTTCTTTGTAAAATTGCTCTGCTTCTGTTCAGACTTCTGAGTTGCACTGTAGCATGACTTTACTCAGTTGTTTGTAAAACAAATTGATTTGTGTTCTAATATTTCCAATGTAAAGAAAACCCCATCCTTGTATTCTTTGTGTATTAAGTAACAATACAAAAATGCTTTTTACCTAATAAAACATTAAACGAAAAAGGAAACATCTTTGAAAATTTCCAAACCCACATCTACCATAACAGTGGCAGCATCCTGTTCTACGTGGAACATGGTACGTTTCTTTGTTAAAGATTATTAGCCAGGCAGATTTAAAATAACTTTTCCTGGCAGTTTAATAAAACTCTTCAAATGAGACAAACAAGTATAGGGTTTGTATTTAAAGTGCTCTTTATCTGATGCAGCAAATTATTTGGCCGGTATCCTTCTGGTCTCCAAGTAGCACTTCACAGATGATTAAGGGCAAAGGGGGTGGCAGGGAAGAGCAAAACAAACTGTCCTAAGTTGTAGCTCTGTGAAATAGACCTTAGTGCCAGGTGGTACAGTACTACCAGAGCATAACACAAACCCAGCCTTTGTGGTTGAAACATTACCATGCACGCGTGTTCTTGCTACAATCAGAAGAGAAGGCAGATGTTAGTGCCTGGGATTTGCAATCTCCTGCAGTTAGAAAGCAAGCTCAGGGACTAGAAAACTCACTGAAGGAAAATGCAGCAATCAAATGAATGCACGGCGAATGTCCATGGGGCGGCCCCGGCTGGGTCTAGGTGGAAACCTGTCACTGGGACCAGCTCGTCCTGGAAGTGTGTGGTTTGCTCCTGGCAGAGAACCAATTGGGTCAAAATGTGGTCTGAATGGAGGAAACTGGGCCGGTGCTTCTCCTGGGCCAGGAATGAGTGAGTTAATTGGGTCTCCAACATATGGAAGCGTTGGTCTTTCATCATATTCTCCACCAATGATCATGGGGGGATAGATTGGGTTTGATGGGAATGGGTTGGGAGGAAAGGGATTAGGATAGAATGGGTTGGGATGAAAGGGGATTGGATGTGGTGTAGGGGGCAAAAACATCATATGCCTCCATCTCAGGGCCTCCTTCTTCTGTTTCAACTTTTTCTTGTATAGCTGCAGACAGAAACAAAGACATCTTAAAGCTCTGAAACTGCTTTGCATTCCAGCTTCAGCAATAGCGTTCAGTTCTGCAGCAACTCCCCCACCTCCCAAAGGCCAAACACAGCATCAGTGGAAGACCTCTAACACACAATTTGGTCATGCATCTTACAACTTGTTGATGCTGTGTTCTCCTACTCCAACCAAAACTCAACACGTACACAGAACACCACAGTTTTAAACTAAAATTTAACTTAACTACCTCCCAAAGCCTTTGCTTTATTCTCAAGTTAGCCCATGGAGACTAACCTCCAAGAGATTATATTAAAAAAGCCACTTACTTCTTTCCAGTCTGTGTCACGAGGCCTTGCAATAGGATCTACAATGAGAAGTGAAAAATTAAGAAGAGCAATCTGTTTTGGTTTTAAGTAGTATTGATGCTACAGATGCTCACAGCCTTGTCAGAACTCAAAAGAACCAAGAGATTAAAAAAAACATTTTTGGTCAATACATTTTTTATAAAGACAAAAGCATCTCAAAAAAAATATAAAGCTCCAGGACCATTCAACAGGTAATCTACTTGCACACCTACTGTACATAAAGCATCACCTCCAAAGTTGCTAAGTAGAGAAACCCCCGGAAACACTGTCCCATCTTTGATTTCTGACAGCGCTTCCTCTGATCACCTTGTTTCTTCAATATCTTGTAAGAAACTCTAGCAGGAATTTATATTCACTTCCTAATACCTGCAACAGCTGGTACACCAAGGTAGCCAGGGAAAAAGATGAAAACAAGGGAAGTCTGCACCACACAACGGGAAGAACTATGTGGTCCACCACTAATGGCTCAGCTGACTGCCAACAGTTCTCCTGACAGAAAACTGTGCATCCACCTGAATTGCACCTGACCATCTGTACGGTCAGCATCGCAAATGATTGCATTTACTCACAGCGTTTAAAAATGAGAAGTGGTTGCTCTTATCAAAATCTGTCAGACCTAACCCCTCTGTTCACATGAGAATGTAACTAGAAAAACGCATCTCAGCATTACCTCGGAAATCTCGCAGATACATGAACCTCCACAGAAGCTGGTCATTTGTAGCTGTGTAAAGGTCACGGCAAACAGCAGAAAGAGAGATGAGTGAACGGACATCAAGAAGTCTGAAAATCCGAAGCTTGAGCTCAAGAGGGAGGACCACTAAGCCAAACACATCTGGCAAGTTCAGAGCTACCAAGTGGAGAAAACAGAAGCATTACATAAGCAGTGCAGAGTTTACTCTATTTCTAAAGGCCCTAAAAGAAAGGGCATTATAATCTTTGGCTTAAATCATTTCCCTTTGATGCCTGAGTTACATCAACTTTCTTAAAAGTACTGTGACATGACTTCTTTTAAAACAGATCTTTTGCATTTACAGAGAGCACGAAATAGGGCAGATGGCACTTTATACTGACTACTATTGGCCACTAAGCCTCAGAAACATTCCACACACCTAACAAAGGGATAGCTAACAACAACAAAAATAAGACCTGCCCAATTTCATGAGCCCACAAAAAACACATTAAATACAGAGCACATAGTTCACACAAAACCTTCCCACACTGAAGTCTAGAGGGAATTCTACTGAATAGTCTTTAAAGCTGAGAACTTTCATGGCAATATGTACGCGGAGAAAGCCTGGCTTCCTACTGCTGCACAAACACCAGCTTGGGTTACTTCCTACCATCCTTTCCAAACCCTCAATGACCTGTTACCGAGAAGGTTATTCCAAATATGATGCAATATAAATTCTTCTGCTTTGCCAAAGAAATGGATCAAAACTACTGCCACAAAATTATTGTGATGTGATTTTTCTCATCACTGAATGTGGAAAACAGTCATTCCACTTCAGTCTCTTAAGTGAGACCAGAGCAATCAAAAATTAAACCCAGGAAATTATCATTATATTAACATTCCCTGAGAGCCAAAGATTAACACAGTTTCTTTAGAATGTATAGATTATTTTATGCTTACTGTTTATATACCCATCACTGAACAGCTGTTTCTAACACTCTTCCTTCAAGGCTTCAGATAGACCCCCTTCCTTCCATCCTCAAAAGTTAAGTACCATCTCAAATTGTAAATATGTTCTCCTACCTTGTCGGGCAGCCGCCAGAAGAGAGTAAACCAACTGGTCTTTAAAGAGACGGGATACTTTCTGAAGATCTTTGTAAACACCTGCAACCTTTTCTATCAAAAGAAGAGAGGTAAAAAGCTTAACTTCAGGAGGTTATAATGCAAGAATTATGTAAAAGCAGAAGAATTATGGTTTTCTTATAAGCAGAACTGTAACCCGCTTGTAATCTTGACAAGAACAGCTCTGCAGTTAGAATGTAATGATCATGCAATAAGTAATTCACTGACAAACTACAGACCAGTTCCACGGTCAGGTGAGGCTTTCTTCTGGCCTTAAAAAGCACCATTAAAAGAAATACTTGAGTTCTTCCGAAACAAACCAACTCTGAAGCTGTCAGAGCTTCCTTTGTCAGATGTCAAAGCTCGCATGTAACATGCGCCTACGTTGTAAACACTGCAAATATTAATTTTTTTGACAGGAATGGTTTTCCACTCTGTTCTCTGAGGAAGCTGGAGCCAGAAGACTCCACCATTACACCAGATACGCTTCAGCGCTCAGTTAATTCTTCCAAGGCCTTTTAGCTAGACTTGTACATCACCAGCTGGGGCCACCCAGGACACAGTGCAGGACCCTGAGTCAGCCTCAACTGCTACTAAGCTGTTCATATACTTGAGAGAACAAAAGGCTAGTTGGGTCTGTACTCACAAGGACACAGTATCTATCTGACCTTCTCTCCTCCCTCACCTTAGTTTTCCCTCTAATTCTGGTATTCTGGAGACACCTATGTGGTCTGCACATTTTCTGGCAAAAAGAATGTAACAATTATGGTGCCAAAACAAGAGTGTAGGGACTATCAGCCTCTGAAGTCCTGAGCTGCCAGGCTTAAAGGGGGGTATAATGCAGCACTGTTGTCCCAGAGATCCACATATGGACTTAGTACCTCGTAAATAACAAGTATATGGGCCAATGGATGACTCAGGCTTTGCAAGGTTCTCTCCTCACACTGTTAGTCTAACAAATTTAACTTGTTTTAACAACAAAATGTGAGTAAACAGATACAACCTGAATTTCTTCTAACACAAAGCTGTAACTAAATTAAAAGGTGACCACATTTTTATTCTTTTTTTTTTTTTTGCTATTCTGTACCTATTCATTCCTCTACTGAAGTTCACCTTTACCCACTGCGTCACTTCTTTACTTTTCAGTTTACTACTACAAGTATCATAACTCAATCATACCTGGCTCCTGAAAACAAACAAAGGATGCTGGCAATAGCTGTATTCTCTTAACACCTTTAATCTCTTTGTTGATTTTTAATGTTGCTGCAAATACAAGAAGAAAAGACATTTCAAAATTTAAAACACATGCGAGATGACAAAGACCACTTCATTAGTGCCTTACTCCTTGGTGGTGTTCAATTTTGCTCCTCAGCAGATCCCCTCATGGAAGATATGCAACTAATAGCAAGCAGCTAGACAAATAAAAATTCCAGAAAAACAACGTGGAACTTAAATAGCAGGGAATACACAGAGATCTTGACAGAAACCAAGCACTGCCTTCAACAATTTTATCACATGGGAAGAGATGTAACACAGCTATAAAAGCTATACAGAGAGCCATTATTATAACCCAGTCATTAAAGAAATACTAGCTAAAGACTCAACAAGCTTACTATATGAACACTATATGCATAGTAGCTATAACCCTGTCCTAAAACTAACCTTAACCTCACTTGGTTAGAACGATTTGACTAGAATGCATGTATGTTCTGGGAAAAACATAAGTACTCATACAAATAGGCACAACCAGTTACAAATTTTACATATAAATGGGGAGAAAAAAAATTAGGATACCTTGAAATTAGAATCAAGTTCCAATTTAATATTAGTTCTGCAAAAATGTGGAATTTTTCTAATGTTCAATAAAATATGAAAAAGGTAAAAAAGACAAAAATACCCCCACCAAGTGATATGGAAGTTGCTTCAAAAAATTAGACCATGGTTAGTGTGCTACGGAAAAAAATTAAACATTAAAGCTAAAGAATCAATAGTCTATAAGTTGTTTATAAGTCTTGCAAAGAACATGGGATATGACAAAATACTGTAGCAAACCTACTTTTAATATTTGCCATCGTATATCAAAGTTCCTATGAAATGACACAAGAAAAAGATTTCTACAACATTGCAATGAAAAGGACAGCTGAATCCCCTAACGACTGATCTGTTATGATTAGAGGGAGAGAAGCAGTTAACACTGAGACAGGAAATGCCATCAGCATTAGGAAGTGCCAGCTCTTGACCTCAGCAACACCGATCATCAAGTTACAGTTCTAAACAGCGTGCACAAAAGCACATTTAAGTTTTCTCTCACTAAACAGTGGTGACATTCAGTGTGTATCCACTCAAGCTAACTTAAAATAAAAACTCAACTAACTTACCATTAACAGCAACAAGATCTCCCAAAGGCACACAAGTCAAACCAGCAGAACCTTCTTCACAAAGGGGGTGCGTGTACTGTAGTTTATAGACACCATTCCCTCTCCATTTCTCTGGCATAGATACTGCCTTGGTTTCTGTCCCCTAAAAATGCAAAGAGATAACACACTGACACACTTCAGCCGCATACCAAGACTGAAGGGTAAAAAAAAATAAAAAAATAAAAAAAATAGGATTAAAGGTTAGGAAATGTCAGAATTATGCTTGCAATTCAACTCTTAGTTTAGTTCCAGTGCACATTATGACACAGACTATAATTACAAGATATGAGCACATGTAGTGACAGGAAAAGGGGGAATGGCTTTAAACTGAAAGAGGGGAGATTTAAATTAGACATTAGGAAAAAATTCTTCCCTGCGAGGGTGATGAGGCGCTGGCACAGGTTGCCCAGAGAAGCTGTGGCTGCCCCATCCCTGGCAGTGTTCAAGGCCAGGTTGGACAAGGGGCTTGGAGCAACCTGCTCTAGTGGAAGGTGTCCGTGACCATGGCAGGGGGTTGGAACTGGATGAGCTTTAAGGTCCCTTTCAAGCCATCTATGATTACATACTGTTTCCCCAAAGCGATAGCAAATCTAATGTGAAGTTTAGAGATTTTTTTTGTCCTGCCCCGGTTTCTGACAGGAAAGGTTGTTCTCCGAGCACTTACTCCTATTTCTTTTCTGTCATCCATTCCAGTATTCTGACAACTTCTGCATGTACGTTAACTTGCTGAATGAAAAACATGTTGTTGCGCCTTTTCTCTGAACTTCAGATGTCTGACAGGACTTGAAGAACCATAGCTTGAAATTAATTTGAACATCTGAGCAGACTAACAGTTTTTCCTTTCAATTTCAGTATGAAAGGATGGAATCACAGAGGGGGATAACAAAACCACAAGTGCAAATAGACTCGATCTTTCCTCTTAAATCTGCAAAGCAATCATTTTCCCCACTGCCAAGCCTACTCATTGACATGAACATTCTTCCCAGTGGCAAATATATTCGTCAGATAGTGTTTCAGGCTGTATGAATGCAATCAACTTAGCAGATTTATTAAATTGGTATTGGCCAACCAGACACGTAAAGTGACCCCCACACGTACTTAGTCATCCTCACTGCAAGAAAGGACACAAGAATTTAAACATCTTCCATGAGACAGTCTTTTTTTGCATATTCAGCCACACATTAGTAAACATACAATGCAAATCTGAAAATCTAGGGGAAAAGGTGAATTCATACACAGTACAGACGTACCGCCACAGATACTCAAGCACGACACCTCTGTAGGTTAGCGGAACCAAAGCCTAACTTAACACAGAGACTGGAACTCTATAATCTCCAAGGTCCCTGCCAACCTAAACCATTCTTATGACTTTGTGACATACAACGGCAGATCTTCAGATGCATCCTGTATCACACACATTCCCATGGTATTTCACAGCTTTCTCATACTGACCAAGAAATCTCCTGTTTGGTTCTGCACCTACCTGAGGTACATAGCCTGTCTCCATCATTAGAAGGTGTAGTAGAACAATCAAGGCATCAGTGGCACTGGTACACTCAGCAGAAAGATAGAGCATCTCTAAGGAGTGCGGTATTTCACCATCAGCAGCTTCACTGCACAGCATGGGTTCGGAGGGATAGGAACCTGTACCCTCTTCCAGGTCAACATCTTCTGGGACTAATCCTGAAGGAAATTCTAGGCTGGATCCTGCCTTCAAGGGAAAGCAAAACGTAACTCTTCAGAAAATGACATCTATATACATCAACATTACTAGCCTGCTTATTCAAGTCTCCTGTACTTATTTCCCCATACATATTGAACAGATTCATTACACCTCCATTTTCTCGTATCCCAGCTGGAGACCAGGATTATACAAATAGCCCCTCTGATTTTTGATATTTGTAATGCAATCCCTCCATAAAAGAGTCTGTCACGTTACTGAATATACTACCTGAAGACAAAGTGATGATGTATTAAACCTTCATTAGAATTTTTACAACACGCACAGGAGCAATTTACTCACTACAGTATCACCATTTATTTAAATTTAGCCAACATGTATGGCAGGTAACCAGAATAACTTGGGCTGCTTAGAAACACAACAGGCTTAAATAGCTGGGGAAAAAATTATCAATGTAGTGGTTTTATCGTGGCTTCCTTCCTTCTAATAAAATCATACCATATTATCACATTAACGGATAAAACCACCCACAGAAAAAAAAGAAGTGGTGAATGAAAACTGTAAGTAGATTTATCTAACGGAAGGGTCATGAAAAAAACTGTCTAAAGGAACTGTAGCTACTTCTCCCCCATATCCATGCCCCGTGGCATAAAACACCCTTACGAGGCTGGCATGGCCACCCACCCATGGAACTTCCTTTCTCACTAACAGCAAAGCACATAGCCCCAGTTAAACAAATTTTCAGACTTCCAGAGCTCTTCTACAATGACTGTTACTTCAAAACTTTCTTGCCATCTTCAACCACAGTTTCGGAGGAAGATGTCAGAATTCTTCATCTACATAAACAGGGAACATACATAGCCAAATAACTGGCTATGTATCAGACAAGTATAAGGAGTCAATACTCTGAAGATATTCTCTACTGTATAGAACAGCATCTGACACTGAGAAGACTTCCTTTTTTTTTTGCCTTGTGTTTACAGGGCAATTCTTACGTACTTACCCTCTCATCACTCTTTTGAACTTCCACCTGAGCTTTCTGGTGGTCAGACTCCTCATTCTGACCTTCTTTTGGAGTGCTGGCCTGACTTTTGTTGGATGGCTCATGACCATTCTGAAGCAGGGGGGAAGCAGAAGAAGAAGGAGGTAGGTTGGGTTGTCCATCTGCTTCTTCTAGTAGTAAGCATATCAGATCTCCAGAAACAATCCCATATGAAGCTAAGGTTTTCTCATCTTCTGTGAGAGCATCTTTTCTGTTCAATGTTATTAAAAACCTGGTATCAGGACTGCAGAATGAAAAAGGAAACATGATTGACTGCACCTGGGTAACTGCACACAAAGGTATACTACAATAGTACTGTGCCATGGGTTTTAATGCATTGATAGTTAGCTATATATTAAAGGAAGAATGAAGAAAAAGTTTGGTATTTGATTACTTCCCCCATGTTTTTCTCGAAGCAAATTTTAAGTAGCTGTAGCTGCTTGGTAGGTGTAACTTCACTTACAGCAACTGTTCATAAAACAATTACCAAGGAAAGCAAGCAACTGGCCTACAAATTAGAAGGTATCACACCTGGCAAATAAATAAACTACTGGCTGAGATTATTTAAGAACAAGACAATGCTGGAGACTGGACCACCTTGCTTTCTCATTAAGAAAAGCATTCATTTCAAAAGGCCAGTATGCTAGTGACAATTAAGGGTAATAAGATGCTTCAGGGCAAGCACTTAGAGTAAAACCAAACAGAAACGAAACTGGTTAGAACAGAAGCAGCTATCCAGTACCAGCTATAAAACACACCCACTGTGGCAAAACAAGCACTTAACTTCAGATTTCGCCTGTCCGCACTGCTGTGCGGCACAGCGCGGTGCTATCGGCGTGTTTCACTGTGAAGCCTTAGCACATCACACCCAGCTACAGGGGAGCACTTCCCAAACGCAGTTTCGCTTTCTAGCCCTGCAGCCACC